ACCAAATAATTTTTTATTTAAATAATTCTGTATTTCTGCATTTAAAACAAATACCATTTAATTGATTCAAATAATAATTATTTGATACAAATAAATATATATTTATTTGTTTAATAGTCAAGTAACCAATTATTTGAATCAAATAAATTTTTTTTTTTACTGCAAATTAAATCAATTATTGAAAAACTACAAAAAATATATATAATTTAAGGATAATAACACGATAACTTGTCACGAGACATATTTTTAAGTAATAAAAATTTTTGTACATTGCACACAGAGAAAAAATATAATTTTGTCTTAGAGACAAATAAATATTTATTTCAAATAAATTTTATTTGAGTTAAATAAAAATTTTTTATTTGCGCTAAATAAAAATGTTTTATTTGCGCTAAATAAAAATTTTATTTATATACAAATAATCGTTTACTTAATTATTATCAAATAAATATTTTCTTGAACCAAATAATTTTTATTTGAGTCAATTAAATTTTATTAGAGTTATAAAAATTTTAAGTTAAATAAAAATTTTATTTCCGCTAAATAAAATTTTATTTGTGTTAAATAAAAAAAAAAAAAATTTTTTTTATTTAAAATAAATAAAGCATTATTAGGCTCTGAGAGACAAAATTATATTTTTATTTATATTAAATAAATTTTATTTGTCTCAATAAAATATTTCTCTGTGTGATGAAACTGAAAAATAAAAAAAAAAATTTTCATGTACAAAAAAAGGATTTCTTAATAAATTTATTTCGAATTTAATTTTTCGTACATTTTTTTTGGTTGATAATTTGATTAAGATGAAATTTTATCTCAATATTAAACTATTTTATAAAACTACCAATATAGAGAATAATTTACATTTGGATAAACGTGATCCAATGTTTCATGCCCTTAATTTAATGTGATTATTCAATTTGTCACTCTTGACATAAAGTCAATTGCGGTTAAATAAAATTTTTTTAAAATAAACAAAATTATTTATTTCCTTCGAATAGAATTATTCTACATTTATAATTTATAAATTATTTTTTTGTAAAAAAAAAAATTTTTTCAGCGAAAATGACCTTGAGTCTTTTTTTTGTATCATAAATATTATGACACATCATTATAATTGACGCATTGATTATATATTTACTCATTCATCAAATTTTCTATAAATATCCCAGACTAATTAATTAATTAATTAATAGTAACATTTTTGTACTAATCATCAATTCTTGACCTTATCAATACTTTTTTTTTTTGTCCTTCGAAACAATTCCCGATTTGGATTTGCAAAATCACTTCATTTCAGGCATTATTATATATATATCGCATTTTGAAACGTGATCACTACCGAAGGATTATCGAGAAATAAATATGGGTACAAACTTGTTGCTCTTTATGTATAGTGTCCATACATGGACAAACTGTTGAGCAGCCTTCAGAATTAGTATTTGAAAAAATAAAAAAAAAAAAAAAAAAAATGCCACGTTGCGGTATTACCTGTTCACCACAGTAAATTGGCTGACCATGCGAAAAAAAAGTGGGTCGGTCATCAAGAATCTCTTAATTCATCATTTTTTTTTTTTTTTCAAATATAATGCCTTTATAATTTTTTTTTTCAAATTTTTAATTAATTTTCTTCAATTTTTAAAATATTTTTTTTACTAAATATTCGAATTTGCGAATAAAAAATTTTTTCACACTTGAGTGTGAAATATTTTTTTTTTTTTATTATCAGTCTTATCTTATCTTTCGCAAAGTAATAATCATTAAATTTAAAAATGGAAATGCAACAGACACCTGGTTATCCTTGCGAAAAAAAAAATAATCGAAATCTGAGCAGACAAAAATATATAAAAAAAAAAAGAAGTCGATTTTCTATAATGTATAAAATCCGCTTTTATAATTCTAAACTTCTATACATCCGTTTTGGAATTGACCCAGTTTCTATTAAGTTTTATCGACATTGAATTTGATCGCTAAATAAATAGTATTTTAAAAAGCAAAAGTGCATATCGATGAAAGTGGTCAAACTACAACTTGAAACTTTTCCATTTATGATATAGAGTTTTATGGCTTCGTTAAACATCTCCGCGTGTGTTACGCAATATTAAATATTATATGCAATCAACGTTTATATAAACATGATTAATTTTCTTTTTTCTCCTTATGTCTAGAAACTTCTTTTTTTTCAAAAAATAAAATTTTAGATAATTAGAAAGATTTTCAAAAAGAAATTGAAAATAAATTGAGTAAACTGTGATTTTAGGGAGAAATGATTTTTTTTCCAAAAAAATATAAATTTCAGATAATTAGAAAGATTTTTAAAAAAATTGAAAATAAATTTAGTAAACTGTGAATTTAGGGAGAAATGATTTTTTTTCCAAAAAAATATAAATTTCAGATAATTAGAAAGATTTTCAAAAAAAAATTGAAAATAAATTTAGTAAACTGTGATTTTAGGGAGAACTTCTTTTTTTTCCAAAAAAATATAAATTTTAGATAATTAGAAAGATTTTCAAAAAAAAATTGAAAATAAATTTAGTAACCTGTGATTTTAGGGAGAAATGATATTTTTTTTGGAATATTTTTAATATGAAAGTGAATTGTTTCGCGCATTGAAGGTAAACTACGTGTTGGCCTTAACGTATTTTCTTTTTTAGTTTGGGGCGACATTGCACGGCTATGTCATCGAAGAAACTTTCGTTCATTGAATTTCAGTTTCAGGGTAGGGCATTTGGGTGCGACCCCACAATTTTTTTTTTTTTTTTTTTTCTCTTTTTTTTTACACAATAGCTTTCTTCACGTATCTATAGAAGATTATAAACGCGCAAAGACTTGAGATCTCGTGATAGATGTTGTTTATCGGTTTTTTTTTTCAAAACAATTTCATATATAGGAAAAGTCTGCGGATAATGACAATAAATTTTCATCTTCCCAAAGTCTCAAGGATCCGTTATAATATTTATAAATTTAAAAAAAAAGATTAAATAATTTTTAGTATAAAATAAATAATAAAAATAAAAATTACAAAAAATTTTTTAGAGGTACATTATTTAATATTCTAATTATCTAGTGGAAAAAAAAATGCGTCATAATGTATGACAACAGGTGATTTTACACGTCTATATTTTAATATGGAAAAAAATGATTCATCTATTCACTCAAAGAAAACCTTCGCTATGTTAGAATTATAACTGTAAACTTGCATTCTGCACAAGGAGAGGTCACAAGTTGACTATAGTAATCTAATTTGTTCCATTGGATCATCATCATTTAGTTTCAATAATCCCGCATAAAACAACCCCATTCTTTTTTCTGTTGCATTGTATATAGAAAAAAAATATATATTCTAAATCAATTAAGTATTAATTTCTGAATTTAAATTTAATTCTAATTTTTCAATTGAATAAATTAAATAATGTATAATTTTCGAAATGAAATAATTCTAAAAAAACATTAATTAAATTTTTTTTTTTATTATTTAATTCTAATTTTTATTTCAAGTAAATATAATAATCAATTAGTTAAGTAATCAAATTTCCCAAAAAAAATCGATTTCCAATAAAAATAGAATATTTAAAAAAGTCAATTCAATTACTAAATTATAATTTATCGATGATAAATACTTAACTGATGAATCATAAAAAAATCATAATTTGATAAAAAAAAATTTTTTTTAAAAATATACAAGAAAATTATTTGTTCGTATTTGCTCATTTCAATTCAAGAAAATTTTAAATACAATTTTCTTGGATGAAAAAAATATTAAATCAAATAAATTTTCTTGATACAATACTATTTTTTTTTCTTCTATATATGTAAAAGAATTTTAAAGTAAATGGTTCATTGCACAGTTTAAGAAACAATGAACTTGTATACCGTCCAAGGAGAGATTGGGTCGATGACTTTCATCGTATATAAGTACAACACTATTCGTTTTACAAACCCTATATATATATATATAAATAATATACAGGATGTGTTAGATGAAATATTATATATATTATAATTAATATATAGCAGCGCACAAACCAGAAACTAATTCGTATTTTTCGAGAGCTTAAGAATAATTGAAGCAAAAAAAAAAAAAAAGAGAAAAAAATACCTCACATTTTACCGATGACGTAACATTTATAAATTGACTCGCAAAACAATAATGTATATCTAGTGTAGATTTTTTTTTATTGGCAAAAACTGATTGATTCTGAGAATTTCTAATTAGATAATTATAACGAGAACGCGGTTATTGTAAGTCTTTAAACAATTTTATCTAATTTCTAATATTTTACTGTTTTCTTTTTTTTTTTCTCCTATTTCTCTCATGAGGAAAATAATTTTTCTTCTAAATTATATATTTACGTATATATTATTAATGTATAAATAATAATAATAATAATATTAATAATATTAATAATATTTAATTAATATCAATATAATTGAAAAAATAAATTATAATCTTTGCCTCTCAATATTTTTTCAAAGTATATATATACGTATACTTAATATGTATATTTTATTATATAATATGCTTAGGAATTTTGAAATTTATGTATTCGCTATTTATAAACGTGAAATCACCGGATAAGGAACTGATAGAGATGAAAGACTAGGAATAATATGAAAAAGTCTGAGAATGGAAAACCAACACAAGAAAACATTTTCATAATTTTTTTTCCTTTTTTTTTAATTTTTTTTTTTTTATATTGGCCTATAGTAATTATATCAACTGAATGGAATTTCGCACGTGATATAGAAATTTGATAGATTTATGTATTATTCAAGTGTACGTGACAATATTTCTTGCTTATCGAAGCACTTATCAGTTATAAAATATGTATATATATAAGATAAAAATAGTAATGTTTTCTGTCTTTTTTTCTTTTAAATTTATAAATTTCATAATATATAATTAATAATATAGAAAATAGAATTTGTAAAAATTCAATTTTTTTTTAAATCAAAATTCTATGAGAAAATAATTTTAATTCCTTTTTTTCTTGTTACAGATTAATAGTAAATACAGTGAGGAATTAGCTCAGGAATGTTTAGAATGGATAAAAACAATTACGGGAGAAAATATCAGTACAAATGGAGATATGGACAATTTTTACGAAATCTTAAAGGACGGTGTTCTTCTCTGCAGGTATATTTGTTTCTAATTAAAAATTTTTTTTATCAAAAACATTAAATATGTTACGATTATAAAAAAAAATTTTAATTTTTTAAACTTTTTTTTATTTTAATTTGAAAAAAATAGTTTCAATAAAATTGGAATTTAATAATTTTTTTTTTTTTCCTAAACAATAATGTTTTGTTAATAATTACAGGCTGGCTAATAACATTAAGCCCGATTCTGTTAAAAAAATTAACCAGACGACCATGTCTTTTAAATGCATGGAGAATATTAATGCATTCTTAGAAACGGCACGAGCACTTGGAGTTCCAGCTCAAGAAACATTTCAAACTGTCGATCTTTGGGAAAGACAAAATTTAAATTCAGTTGTAATTTGCTTACAATCCCTTGGCCGAAAGGTAAATATGAAATTTAAATTAATATCAGGGGAAAAATCACATTTTTTTAATTATAATTTTGAAGAATAAAATTAAACACAAAAATTTTTTTTTCTAGGCTGGAAATTATGGTAAGCCCAGTATTGGACCAAAAGAAGCTGACAAAAATGTACGCACATTTTCGGAAGAACAATTAAGAGCAGGTCAAGGAGTAATAAGCTTGCAATACGGTAGTAATAAGGGCGCAAATCAAAGTGGGATCAACTTTGGAAATACTCGACACATGTAAAATGATAAAAAAAAAAAAAAAATTTTCGTTTCATCTAACACAAGTTAAATATACTTAAATATATTTCATCGTTCTATTTTCCAAATTATCGCAATCAGAAATATAATGTTGAATAATTTCATAGAAAATATAACAACGAAATTAAGGGAAATATTTTTGCAAATTAAAAATCCAGATAATAATTTTACTAAATGTAATTATGTAAAATTTTCTTATTTTTAAATCAAAAAAAGAAATAGATTTAAAAAAAAAATCCCTTAATTTCGTGATGGTTGCTGAATAATAAATAATAAATGGCGTAAATTGAAAACACGGTCTAAGAACGTTACAAATTATATTATATATATATATATAATTATAGTAAGATAGAAATTTGATTATATTATCAAACTTAAGACTCAAAACATTTCACTCGATCCTTCACTAAATGATTATTCGACCAATATATAATAATTTAATGATTCTATATAAGGATTTAGTGATAATTTTGTAAATTTTATTTTTTTTTTTTGGTTATTGTACGACAAAGACTGTATTGTCATTATAAAAAGAGTAAAACGTTTATATATATATTTTGTTAGACGAAACCATTTAATTATATACGAAATCAAATATAGCGTATATTCTTTTTCATACAAAAAATAGAATATGTATGAAACATTCAAATATAGATATTTTATTATACTGTTATTATAATAATTCTATATTTTTTGGTGAAGTGTAACAGAATTGATTGAAAAAAAAATAAAAATTGTTACACGGGAAGTAATAATTTATGTTACTCTATATATTAAAAAGTTTCGAAAAATTTAGAGAGAAAAAAAAAATTATATTCCATATTTTGTACAAATGTATTTTGATTAAAATATTTGTAGGATCTTCAAGATACCAATGAAAAATAAAAAAAAAGAAAAAAAAATGAAGTGTCAACTAATAAAGAAAATTTATCTACACAAAAATTTAAAAATTTTCCTTTTTTTTTAAACCAAAAAAACATCTAATTAAGGTTTGTATTTTTATTTCATATCTAAATATTTCCTATTAATAATTTGTAAATTATTATTATTTTTTTTTTAAATATTTATTTTATTTTTATTATAAACAATATACTGTACTAATAACAAAATTAAAAGAGAATTACCTTTGGAAAGGATAGTACGAGAGTCCAGAATTATGTTTGAATTTATATTTTTCTTTCTTTTTTTCTTCTCTTTCATTAATTTTCATTAATTTTTGTACACTCGGTCTGTAAATAAAAAGAGATTATTAAATCCTATAATATTTGTTTTTTTTTCAATAATAAAAATTATTTTTTAAATTCCGAATCATAAAAAAGGAAAGAAAACTAATTACAATTAATATATATATTTAAGGTTATAGTTTATTTTAAAATACCTGTAAGGTGGTGGTAATAATTCTTCATTCAATGTGCAATCAAAAGGTGTTATTTCACCATGTTTAAGTATATTACTTCTGACAATGTCAATATCACGATTAAATTCATCTTGAAGTTGACAAGTTAACGAAGGTGGTACGTCAAAATAAAAAACAAAATAACTGCAATAAAAATGCTTTGTTAATGAAAATAAAATAAAATAATATTTACAATTTTTTTAATTAATTATTTAATAAAAAAAAACGAAACTTACTTTGCTTCTTTATGTACACGTTCATGTACTGACATTCTATAGGGTGTTGCTTTTTTGCCAAAATTTTCCATTTTTCTAATAAAACCACCTTTATCAAAAATCATTTGAGCAACTCTTTTTAAAGTAGTCGTGAGTTCTGGCTGTAAAATTTAAAAAATTATTTTGTATATTCACATATAAAAAACAAAATAAGTCTTTACAAATAATTTTAGAAAAACCAATTACCTTAGCCATAATACGTATTAACAGTGGCATTTCGTAGGTCGGCATTTTTGTAAATTATTAAATAACACTTTTATTAACAACAATTATTACCTATCTTGTTTGTTTATTTAAAAATCAGTAATAATTATTAGAAAAATATATTTCTAATAACACGTTACAAATTATACTTTGAATAACCTAACCTAAAAGTGGTTCTGGATTGTTTGCAGGGATGGGTAGTACATAGAATGTCCATTACGTTAAATGACGTAAAAGAAAATGCGCGCGACTAATTTAAAAATTTAAAATCTTGCAAATTTACTAAATTTTGCAAAATTACACCACAAATATATATTTCAGTTTTCATTTAAATTATCATTGAATATATTTATAATAAAACTAATGTAGAAAATTAAAATTTTGTAAAATAAATAAAACTAAAGGTAAATTCATATATATAAGATAAATCCAACCTCAAAAAATACATGTGTCCATGTGTCAAATTTTTTTTTTGTCTGCTACTGTTTTGTACATTAATTGTCGGTTATTATCAATTAAAATTGTCGCATAATGGTTGAATAATAAAAATTGTTTTTGTTAGTTAAAAACAATATTTTTTTTTAACAAAGAAGTATTTTTTTTTTTCATGGAATATTGTGAAATGTGAATTAGAGCTTAATTTTATGAGAAAAACAACGGCTGTCAGCTGTCAGTTATATGTATATACAAGCCTCTGTGATAAAGAGTGCGAATGTAAATAAATAATAATTGCTATAAATAATTTAACGTGATTAACCTATTATTATACAATATAGAATAGGTTAAGTCATCTAATAAAAAGCGCAAATGTGAATTCTGCATAAACCCCCAGGGAGAAAATCAATACTGAGCATATAAATTTGTTGTGCAACACAATATATCGTTTGTAGTGCTTCGTTAACTAAATTTTTATAATAATTTCATACATTATCATTGTCAGTGAATATTAAAATTATAATTATGAAGAATGGTAGTAGATTGTTGAGATCATTGTTAAAAGTATCAGAGAAAGCGGCAAATATTGCCCGTGCTTGTAGACAAAATGAATCTCTTTTTGAATTATTGATACAAGAAAAAACTAGTCATGAAAAAAATCCAAGATTTTTTCAAGATTTTAAAACACTTGCTGATGTTCTTATTCAAGAAACAATTAGACATGACATTGGCATTGAGGTATGTTTTTTTTTTTAATGAAAGAAATCATTTTTTAAATTCTTTTCTGTATTTTTATAAAAATAAAAATTTTTTTTATTATTTACTGTTGATGAGTTTTTTTTTTTCAAATTCTATACAATTGGATTTTTAATTGAAAACCTGTACAGAGAAAATTAGTTTCCAGAACTTGCAAAAATGATAAAAGGAGAGGAGAACAATACATTTAGTAATACTTTGGGTGAAACAATCACAGTTGAGGTCTGTTCAACATTAGCAGAAACAACAGAATTATTGGCAAAAGTATTAGATAACGATGATAAAACGGCTCACTTATTATCGACAGAAGTTCATCGTGATGTTATTTTAACTGACGTACCTATTAATATAGTTGATGTGCCAACTGATTTTGAAATTTCTATCGACGATCTCAGTATATGGGTAGATCCAATTGGTAATGTTTTCTTTTTTTTTAATTTTCTTTGAAATATTATTAAATCTTTAGAATTTTTTAAATATAATTCACGATGGTAATTGATTTTTAATAATCATTTCAGACAACACTGCTGATTATATTAATGGAAATGAATCTATAGATGAAGAATCAGGTATGCATTTAACAGGTTTACATTGTGTTACCGTTTTAATTGGAGCTTATTTACAAAGCACTGGATTACCTGTTATGGGAGTTGTTAATCAACCATTTTACGAAAAGCGAGATTTATTGTAAGTAAAAAAAAAAAATGTTCACAATTTATTTTATTAATTATGAAAAATTCTTTTAAAAATATATTTACAGATGGAAAGGATCTTGTTATTGGGGATTATTTGATAATGGTATCAAATATTGTTCGATTAAAACAAATGATGATAATGATGATATTAAAGAAAATTCAAAATGTAAAATTTTATTAAGTCGTTTTGAAAATCATGAAATAAAAGCAAAACTTATTGAAAAAGGTTTTACACCAATTGAAGCTGCTGGTGCTGGTTATAAAATTTTAAGCGTTGCCACTGGACAAGTTGATGCATATATTTTATCAAGAGGTTCCACATATCGTTGGGATACTTGTGGTCCACAGGCAATTTTACGTTCTTTAGGCGGTGGAATAATAGATTTTCAAAATTGTAAAGAAAATTTCAATTCAATGGATTTAGAGATAATTTATTCAAATTCTGAAATTGGAAATAAAGGTGGATTAATTGCTTACAGGGATTCAAAAACATTGAGTAATCTATGTTCAGCATTATTCCAATAGGTAACAAAAAAAAAAATTAATTAGCTGTCAAAGAAAAAAAGTTTTTCTGTTTTTTAATTTTTAAATACAAAAGTATAGATTTTTTTTTTTACTTCTGTGTGATATTTTTATCAGTGATTTTGATTTTATTGAAAGATTTTTAATTAATATACATGTATAAGTATATGTGATGTTAGATATCCGTATATAATTATAAAAAAAAAGTTCTAGGTGCTATAATTTACAAAAAAAAAATAATATCTTTTGAACAAGAATAATTCTACCTCGACAAATTGAAAACCAATTTTAAATCATGTCAATTTTTCAACCTATATATTTTATCGAAAAAAAAAGTGAAAAGAGAATTTTGAAAATATATTTTTCTATATTTAATAAAATGATAAACTTCCTGCGATATATGTTTATAATTAACATATACATGAAAGTACTTAAATATATTTATATATATATAATTTTATCCCATATGTGATATACAATACTGTGGTTAATATTATTATAAAATATATTCTTCATTTTATTATAATGTAGATTTTAGAAAAGAAATAGAAATTAATGTGAAACTGTTTCTAAATGTTAAAAACAATCGCCATATAATTGACTGTGCTTCCCCTTTTTCTCTAATTATTATATTTTTCCATGATTATTTTGGGTTATGAAAATATTTTTTTTTTTTTGAGATATATTATAAGTTATTTTGTGTTTAAATAAAACTTGTTTCTTCGGATAAAGTGTCTGAATAAAAAAGGTACTTATTGTTGAGAATAATGTTATTTATTATGAAAATCTGTATAATAGATTTTTTAATCCCATATTTAAGGAATTTAGGAGCTAAATAATTAGGCTAAAATTAAATTAAACAATTGAATTAAAAATTGAATAACTAATTAATAATAATCAACTTAAATAACAAATTAGCAAATATAAAATACTAGCTGTCGCACCCGTCTTCGACGGTTATAATGTTTAGATTTAATAAATTTTGAAATTTATAATTACATCCAACTATACGTGTTCTCCTGTATTAAAATATCTTTTTATAAATTTTTAATTATTATTTATTCAATTCAATTTAATTTTTTCACTGCTTTTAATAAAATTAAAATAATTTAAAATTGTATTTAATTTTATAGTATTGAAAATAAAAATTATTTTAATCAATACAATTTAAATTAAAATTTTAAAAAACTTTAAAAATTATTTGAAGAATAAATTTTTAATAGAAAAATTTCTTTTAAATAAAATGAAAATAATTTAATTTTATTATATTTATTATATTATATTTAAGTTTATTTAGTTTTATTATATTTAAAAATAATTTGTATCTATAATAATAATAATAATAATAATAATAATAATAATATTCAATAATAATAATAATAATTTAAATATAATAATTGTTAATTTCAAAGAGTAAAAAAGTAATTTTCGATTTTTTATTTTTACAATATCTGATTTCATATTCAGATTTGCAATTATTAATTTTAAAATTCTGCTAAAATTCTTAAATTAAAATTCTTAAAATTTCTTGTTAAAAGCATACTTAATTGGTCACAAAATTTTAAATAAAGAACGTTTAGTAAAGAATTATCAAAAAATAAAAAATGTTAAATTTTTTAAATTTTTTGAAAGTGTCATATTTTTGTTTAAATTAATATTTTTCATTGGTGTGCAGCTAAGATTGCGTTTAATACCCAACAGACTAAAAACATTATTGTTTTACTTATAAAAAGTTGAACATAACGAATTCTTATATTACAATGTTATTAAAAAAATTGGAAATTCAAAAATTTGATTTAGACTTTTAAATTCAGACTATTTACTTAATTTAATAAAAAAATTGATTGTATTTATGTGAAAAAATTAGGTACAAATAGTTTCAAATCAATCTGACAAAAAATAAAAAATTTGCATTTTTTTGATTTTTTTAAATTTTTTGAAAAAATGTCATAACTTTCGTTCATGTTAATATTTTTTAATCAAATATGGCTAAGATTTTAAGTTACGTTAAGACTGAATACACTGCCAAGTTTCACCTCAATCGGTTGAGCCGTTTTAAAGTTGTGCCGGTACAAAATATTGACGACAGACAGACAGACAGATAGACAGACAGAATTTTTATTTATGGCATATTTGTTATCTTTACTACTTAAAATGATAAACTATGCAAGAAAAAATTAATTTGGAGCAATGTACAGACAAAAGTCTGATTTTATTAATATAGATTTAGAATTTAGATAAAATAAATGAATTAATAAAATATATATTAATTAAATCAGAAGTTAATTAATATTTAAATAGTTGCTAATTTACAATTCAAATTTACATGGATTAGAGAAAGATTAATTATGACTTTGTCGCTTAATTACTTTTTGAGTAAGCATCTATTAAATTCTATATTGATAAATATAATTAAGGGATAATCTTCATTTTCTTGAAAGTGAATTTTAAATGCAAAACTTGAAAATAAGTTTCTGATATTATAAACTAGTTTAAATATTTATAACGCTCTTTAGTTGGAGAATAATTTTTTATTTCTAAATTATAATTTAAAAGATGCTTCAATTTTTAAGAATTTTTATATAAAATATTGAAATAAAAAAAAATTGAAAAGTATAAAATACAGTCGAACCTGGATAAGTGGGAATCCTTTGAGATTGTGGTCCGTAATGTAAAATATAAAAAAAAAAACCTCTATGAGTAGAAAAATGTTCCATCTTTTTCAAAATATTTCGACTTTTCTGAAAAAAAAAAGTTAATTTGTAATAAAGTAGAAAAATTGTTTAAATGAAAAATAAATTGCAAATAGATTTTTACATAAAATTCCTTTTTAATTCAATAATAATTCGCTTATTTTTTTTTTACACATACTTATATAATACATTCACTTTCAAATACGAACAGTTATTTTTTTTTTTCATTAATTAATATATAATTTTTAAAATTTTTTATTCAACTTTCATTGTCTTTTTCTTTTATATATATTATTATTCTATTTTATATATACTTTCCATTATACATTCACTTTTAAACGATTTTCATTCACAATTATATTTTATATATATCACATATTTATATTTACAATTTTAATAAATAAAAAAAAAGAAGAAAAAATCACAAAGTCTTTTTGGTATATAATTAAATGTAGATTAAAGATGATTATATAAAATGACATATAATTGCATTTTATATTTGTTCTTCAGGTTGTGATGTTATATTCAAAAAACGACGATGAGGTTGTTGATAGGTTGTTTGTAAAGAATCATTGTAGCGAAAACTTGCGCTTCTAGCGACAGGTGTTTCACTTCCATTTATCTTTCGTCGCATACTAATATATGTGGTACATGTGTTCATTCTTCTTAAACCAGGATAATATTGTCCATCAACACCTGAAATGTGAAAGGCCATTTTAAATATTAGAAAAATTTTTTCTATTTTTTAAAACAAAATTGTTTAAACAAATTTTTATTAATAAATTAATTTAATAAATTTTTTTTTTCTAAAATAAATTTATTTTTTCTTAAAATTGTTTGAAAATTATTTTTTATTTAGCAAAAAAAAATTTTTTTTTAAAATAATTTTTTCAAATGAATTTGGCGAATAAAAATGAGAAATGACTTTATATCTATGTCAATAATGTGTTCGTTAATTAACATTTGAATATACGTAAATTCACTGTAATTTGTGGCTTGTTCCAGAGGGTTAATTTCATTTAAGTCACTCGATATTTATGCAAATATAATAAAATTACAGAAAATTTGCGAAAAAAAGACTCTTTTAAATTATAATATCAAAAAAAGTATAAAATAATCAAAATGGCAAATATTTGGAAAATAGAAATAGAAAAAAAAATTTATTTTCTTAAATAAAATAATCATTTTTTTTATAGGAAATTAAATACTTTTTTTCTAAAGCAAAAATGTAGTATAATTTTTATTTTTGATTATTTTTTTTATAAATGTATGATTTTTTTGAAAAATGAATTATTTTTTTCCAAAGAAAAGAAATTGAGTGGTATTTTTTTTTTTTTGGTAATAATTTTTTGGATAAATTAAAATGTACCGGTTAATGGAATACCCGCTGTGCTGGTAAATGTTCTTTGCTCAGAGTCAGGAATGCAAAGTCCAACTCCTGGAAATCTGCTGAGAGCGGCCAGAAAACCTGCTCTAAATCTGGCGTTCATCCAACAATATATTACAGGATTGTAACAAGAATGTGACATTGCAAGCCAATGAAGTGCAGTGAACAGGAATGGAAAACCTTGCCATCTGGGTAGAGATTCGTTTCTTTCAACTGCCAACTATAAACAAATAATTAATTAAATACAGGTATTTATATTTTTTTTTTTTTATTTCTCTTTTTACCAAAATAAAAAATAAATTTATATATTTAAAAAAAAATGATTTTTTTTATTCTGCTGAATAATAATTATAAATAATAATAATATTAATAATAATAATAATAATATTAATATTTATAATTATTAATTTTCAAAAAAAAAAATTTTTTTTACATTTTCTACTAATTTATTTTGTAATATTTTTGTAAGACTACCTTTATTATTAATAAAAAAAAAAAATGTCTGACTATAACTGCTAGTAAAAATTTTACAGGATATTAAAATAAATTTTTATTAGATTTAAAACTTTGTTGTAAAAATAGAATATTAAAATTAATAATTTATTATATTATTTTTTTTCATCGATTCTATGTATAAAATAAATTTTTAAAAATTCAATATTTCATAAAAAGGAATGCACTCAATATATTAAAATTTTTTACTTATATATTTTTTATATCTAGTTTAGATTATATATATATATTTCTTATGTGATCATCTAGTTTATTTGCTGAAGAAATTTAGTGATAGAGTAAGGAATGTCATTTATTTCAAAATCTTGAGGGGATATTCTTTGTCTTCAATTGTTGACCTCATTTTTATAGATGACCCAGACTCAGATTATTTATTGAAATTTATTGACGACATTGATTAATTTCGTTTCAACCCCCATGTTTATAAATATACTCTCTTTTTATATTCATCTATTGAATGCATTTTTTGTCTCCCTTTTTTTTTTTTTTTAATTGAATAATAATAATAAATTTAAATAATTTCAAATTTTATTTTCAAATTTAAAAAAAAATCTATAATTATTTTTCATTGTAGAATTTCTTTTCAAATGAACCGAAGTAACTTTATTATAAATTTAAAAATCTAAATAAAAAACATTTATTTTATTTTTAGTTAGAAGTTAGAATATAATATTTTTAAAATAGAAAACAGAATTTAATAGAGATAAATTAAATAGAATGCTAAAATTATAGAAGAAATTAGAAATTATTTCTCTTTTGTGTAAAATTATTGATTAAAACCAAAAAAAATGACTTTTCTCTTTTAGGATCAAGTATCTCATTAAATTGTAAAGTGTTACACAATATTCACCTCGTTCTCTCATGAGGCGCATATAAGAGTACTTATCACTTTTTTTCAGAATTCATTATCGACTTAATATTGGATCATCAATGGGATATTATAAAACCTTTTATCAACTTCGAAAAAAATTATATAATGGCTTTTAAATCTCCCGTAAATTCAAAAGTGAATCAAAGTGTGACGAATTTTAAATATATATCGCGGATCATTGCACCGTAAAAACGATTTTATATAAATTTAATATAAAAAAAATCATCTTTACTAATTATATTAAAAATATTATATTATATTAAATAAAAAAAGGCAATTTTTATTAAATAAAGAAAAAACTAAATCAGTTTTTATTTTAATTTGAAAAATAAGTAAAAAAAAAAACTGTCGCTGACAAGAAATTTTTTTAATCAAATATTTAAATAAAATTCAGATTTAGAGGAGTAATAATGCTTTTTAGAAAATAAAAATTTATTTATTCATGAACAAAAAAGTTTTTGTTTCAAAAATTCAGGGTTGTTAATTTTTTTTTCTTCATTTGACTCTTGAAAAAAAAAAAAATTGTGTAATAAAAGTTTTTGTCATCAACAACTTTTTTTCCATCCACTTAACGTTCAATTTATTCTTATTATGAAACTTGCACCACTTTTATTTTTCAATAAAAATTAAATTTTTTCCCTCCACTGAGATTTAATTTTCTTTTTTTTTTCGAAATTTTTCTTTTTAGAAATTTTATATTCTTCAAAATGGTATTACATGCAATGTGAAATTAAAATAATTGGAGCAAATTTCAAAATGTACTTGGGGAAACATATATTCAACCGTGTCAGTCAGTTGAAGCTGGAACACGCGTTGAAACTTCGTAGACAAATTAAACTTAATTTCACTTACAGTAAAATAGAACTTAGATCTATATTATACACTTCATATAACTAATTTCAATAGAGTTTATCCTATATATATATATATATATATATATAAAGGTGTACTAAATATAATTTATCAAAAGACTTACAATCAAAACATTGAAGGGCAACCAACAAATTGTAAAGACCGTCACGACAGTCATCATCATTTTTACCATCTGAAAAATAGATTTTTTTTCATTAATTATTTTTTTTTTCTATTTTTGTTTTTTATTTTATAAATTAAATTTATTTTCTCCATTTTTTTTTTATTTAATATTTATTTAATATTTATTAATATTTAATTTATATTTTTAATTACTGTAACCAGAAATTAAAAATTAAATAATTTTTAAGCCTGACATAAACTGTCTTTTTACTACAATTTTTTGAATTTATTTATTTATAATAAAATTATAGTAAAAAAAAATTTACTGTTAGACTTTAATTTACTTTTTTATTATCGAATTTAATTGAAATATAATTGAATAACTTTAATTTTATATATTTAATTTTTCGATAATAAAATTTTTTTTTATGAATTTAAATAAATTAGATAAAAAAAAGAAAAAAAAATATTTATTTTTCTGATGAAATATTAATTTATTGTTAATTGTTTTTGGAATAATTAAGTTTTTATTATATATTTAAATATAAAATTATGAGCATAAAACAAAAATCGTTTAATTATAAAAAATTATGAAATAAAAATGATAAAAATATAATAATTATATTTTCAATTTTAATTATTAAAAACTGAAATTTTGTTTTTGAAAAGAATGAATTTTTGATAAATTGTGTCAGCTTTTAAGTATAGAAAACGTTTTCATTATTATATCTATCATATATAGTTTATACTTTCCTCGTATGTTCGTCAACGAAAATCAAAATTAAATTGCGCGCAATGTATTTTCTCATTTTATTCCCCAAGAGAAATGCATTCATCAAAATAATTTCTCTTATTTATTGTTGTGCGCAATCTTTTATTATTATATGGTCTCAAGCGAGTTTTCAAGTACTTTTCAATCTACTTTTTTTTTTTCTTTCTTTTTTAAAACTTTTGTTGAAAACTTTTTTTGTGTGATATTATTGTTTTGGAATTCACTTTAAGAAAAAAAAAATGCGACTCCACAAGAGTTAAAATGATAATTTACTATTCCTTTTCAAATAACAGAAAATGGAAAAAGTACTTAAACAAACTTCTACCTTTTTTCTTTTAATAGTTTTCAAACAATTCAAGAAGCATAATTTATTATCACCTTTTATATACATTAGGAAATGAAAAATTCCTTTCTTAATCTCATTTCTTTAATAAAACGTTTAATTAAAAATTTGCTTTTAAAAGACATGAATTCTTATATTATTTAATATAATTTTTCTAAATATATATGTTAATTTAGATTTTTAGAAGAATTCACCAAAAAAAACGATAATTATAAAAAATAAACTACTTTTTATTTCAATTAAAAATGAAATAAAATTTTATGGCTTTTTTTCATTTTAACTATGCATCAAAGAAAATTTTATTTTTTTATTTTTTTTTTAGTAAAAAATTTAAAAATAATTTTTTTTTAATTTTGATGCAAAAGTTATGTGAATGTTTAGTATCACGAAACACGCAGTTTTTTTTTTCATCATGGAACATAAAAAAAAGGGAATTTTTCTGGATCCTGTAGAATCTACTTAAAATATTTATCTTAATTTCTAACGTTGAGTTCCCGAGAGAAAAATTAAAGGGTAAAAAAAAATTCATTTTTTAAATATGTAAAAAAATTATAGCATTATATATACGTATATTAATTTTTCTTTGTAGGCATTTTTTCACCTTTATAAAAATGAAATTTTTTAGCCACAAAAAAAAAAAAAAAAAAAAAAATCAAAGAAAATATGATAAGGCTCTTATGAGAAAATATTGAACAAGTCATTTGAAACCGTAACGTGACAATATATGCAAAATATCTAAGGATTTTCTACTTTTTTTTTTTTTTTTTTTATTTCTTTCATTCCTTACAAAAATCCTCGACCTTATTTCTTTACCAATGACAAGTTGAGATGCGCTTCTTATTCTCAAAACTTGAATTAAAGGGTCTTGTGAAAATCTGGAGAGATATACGGAAAATTATCTTCAGTCGCATCAAAAAATTCATTCAAATATTTTTACAAATTTCCTTCAAGTATATAAAATTTATTTTTAAATAAAAGAAGAAGAAGAAAAAACAAAGAATGAATATTGTTGGCGAATATAAAATAGAAGACTTTTTTTTTTATTATACACTGAAAAAAAAATTTATTTGCTTCAAATACTCGATTACTTGACTATTATCAAATAAATATTTATTTGTATCAAATAATTATTATTTAAGTCAATTAAATGATTTTTGTTTCAAATAAAAAAATTATTGGTTCAAATACAATTTATTTAATTCAATTAAAAATTATTTGGTTCAAGTAAATATTTATTTAAAAATACTCAAGTAATCGAGTATTTGAATCAAATAAATTTTTTTTTCAGTGTAATATATATTTTCAGGGGAAAAAATAATTCAATGAAAAAATTTCACTAAATAATATTTAAACACAAAATAATTATTAAAAAATTATTTTAAAAAATTGAACAAAAAAATTATAAAATAATATAAAAAAAATTATGAAAAAATATTTTGAAAAAATTTGTTTATAGGTTTAAATTATTTAAATTCAAATTTTTTTAACAAAAAATATTGTTTATAGTTATATATATATGTATATTAGATTTATATAACTGATAAATGAGGAAAATTTCGTGTGACAAAATAAATGAAATTATTAGCATAAATTGATCTTTTATATGAAAATTAATGATATAGTTAATAGCCTAGTTTTATTATAAAACTAAATTAAGTTTATCTCACCTTTCTCTTTGATTTAGCCATCCTTTGATCTCTAGTATTTTCTGCCTCACCTGGAGGTCGTTTACCCCACACCATTATTGCAATACTTGTATATGTAAACATCATTACTAAAAGGGGTACCAGATATTGTAGTACGAGTAGGGAAATTGAATAATAATACCTAAAATAACGAAAAAACAATTAATTAAATTTCTTTTTTTCTTAATTAAATTATATTCCTTAATTTTTTTTCCTCTAAAAATTAATTAATTAACTAATTAATTAATTAACTAGTTAATTGATTAATTAAATGATTTACTAATTAATTTATAAATTAATTTTATCATGGAAATAATATTTTAAAAAAATATTATTTTTATTAATTTCTTTTTATTTTTATTTATTGAATAATTTTTTATTATTATTATTTTATTATAAAAGGGCTAACGACATTTCGCACATAAATATTTATATTACAATGTTTTTTTTTCTCGAAATATAGTAAATTAATTAGTAATAACAATAAAAAATTTTTTTATTAAAATTTTTTTATTTTATAATTTTATTTATAATTTTTATTAAATTTTTATTTTGAAATTTTTTTTTTTTTGACAATAATATTAATAATAATATTACCTTTGTTGTGGCGAGGGCCACATTTCCTCACACATGTAACGATCACAAGCAATATATCGATCAGCTGGCTGATCTAACTTTGAAACAACAGCGATTGGAAAAGAAACAATTAGAGCAAGCAGCCACACCGCAAGGATAAGTAGCTTAGCATGTGTTTTCGACATTCGTGGCCTCAATGGCCACATAATCGCTATATAACGATCTATACTTATGGCAACCAGTGTATAAGCACTGACTAAAACCGATACTGCCTGCAAAAAATAATAATTCAAAAATCAGGTAATAATAAATTTTTTTTTTAAATCTACAAAAAAATTCGTAATTTTTTTGTTTCAAAAAAAAAAAACAAACAAATTAAATTTTTCGCAATAATTTTTTTCCTCTTAAAAATTATTTAAAAAAAAAAATAAATCTTAAAAATTATCTTATTTGAATTAAAAAATAATATTGTGTAGATTTTTTCTCTACCGACAAAATGTAAAGATATAAATAAAAAGAAGAAAATTTTTTTTAAAAATACTTTTCTATTTTCCATAAAACTATATATATTGTACACTTGAGGAAAAAACATTTTCACTCTATGTAAAATTATAAATCAGAAAAATGTGTTTGAATTGAATTACACAAGAAAAAATACGCTTCAAAATCCTTTATAGAGAATAATAAACGAAAAAAAAAAAAAAAATTTACTGTCAGAAAGTATAAAAGATTTGCTTTCTGTTGGCTTTTATATTAAAAGGTATGAAGAAAATGCTTTTGACATATATAAATATTTTTAAATACTTTGTGAATTTTATTTAAACGACAAACAGAATCCTGATTTTTAAAAATCGCTTGTAAAAGCTTCTTTAATACCTCTCAGAAAAACGTTTTATTAATTATTTTTTTCCATTTTTTTTGTTGTTAAATATTAAAATTTATTGTAAATTTATTGTGTTTGATTCTTTGCGAAATTCGCAATTTGAATTAAAAAAGAATGAAAATAATTCAATTTTGAATAGTTAATATTATATAAAATAATAATAATAATATTTAAAAAAAACAAATACACCTTAGGGGATATAAATATTTTATTAATAATTTCATCAAGTTCTTGCTCAGCTAAATGTATATATTTCAAGTCAAATGCAAAATTCATGCAGTTGACAAGTAATATCATTATCATCAAAATATTGTATGCGCAAAACTTGAGACAATATTCTAAAGTTCATATATTAATTTCCCACTAATAGTAATAGTTTCATAATAATAATTAATTACATATTCAATTTAGGGTTGAATAAAAATTTTGCTATTTTGCTAAATCACAATTTTTACTAAATGATAATAATTTCATGAATTTCCCATAAAAATTAGTTAAAATTTTTATTTTAATTAATCTTATTAGAAAAAATTATTTTTGGAGCAAAATTTTCATTTTTTGAATTAGCATTTAAAAGAATTTTTTTTTAAACGAATATTTACTTAACAAAATTTTTATGCACCGAAAAAAAAATTTAGAATATTAATTTAGCAGAATTTTTATTTAATTTTAAATTATTCGAATTTTCAATTCACCGAATTTTCATTTGTTTAAATTTTTATTTGATCGAAATAATATTTGGTTCCCGATTTGGTTAAAATAGAATTTTTTTTTTAAATAAAAAATTGGCAAAGAGAAATTCAGTAAAATAAAAATTTTTGTTAAAAATTCGTTTATAAAAAGAAATTCAATTAAATGCTAATTTATATAAACTAAAAATTTCTTTAAAACATAAATAAAATTTGATATTTAAATAAAAATTATAATCAATTATTTCTTATACGGAATTTAAGAAATAAAATTAAACCAATTTTACAAAGTTTTGAATAGTAATAGAATTTGTTATAATTTAGTTAAAGGAGAATTAAATTAATATATGAAATTTATTGAACAAGTATATACAAGTTTATATACCTGAGAATAATTGACGCCTGGACAAAGTTTCGAACCAAAAGGCCAATATTGAAGTACCAAAGTGCTGATGAAAGTTGTTGGTACGCAAAATAAATCCATGAGTATATCTCCAACAGCCAAATTTACGATAAAATAATTTGTCACTGTTTTCATTCGTGGACTACTAATTACAACATAACATACAAGTCCATTGCCAACTAATGCAACGAAAAATATAGTTGTATATAAAAAATAAATTGTCATCTGAAACCATGTGACTGAAAGTACAGTTTTACTATTTGAAAATAGTTCCTCACATGAAATATTATTACTCCAATTTTGATATAATACATTTGTGATAATTTTATCATAATCATATTCCGTGAAGTTTGCCTCTGTGGTCGTTAACATTATGTCCTCCATTACATTTACACAACATTCATCTGAAAAATTAAATTAATTATTTTTTTTTTATTCTATTTAATTCTAAATTTTTGTTTTTTCAAATTTTCAATTATTATTATTATAAAAAAAACAAAAGTTAAATATTAATTTATTTTTCGAAACTTTTTTCCCTATACAAATTTAAATATATATAATAGTTCACAAAAATAAAAAATTTTCCAACTCCTTGACGTTTTCATGAAAAATACCTCAATTTTCACGAAACAACTTATCCGATTGTTTCAAGTATTCTTAATACTAAATATTGAAAGTTTGAAAGATTGAAACCTCAAGTTGAATTAATTAATTAAAAAGTTTTGTTTTTTTTTAATATCCAAAGAAGAAGAAGAAGAAGAAAAACAAAATTTTTTAATTCCAAGTTTTCGTCTTAGAATTAAATTTGAAATTAAATTTTCCCCAAGTTCTTAAAATATATTACATAAACATAACACGAACTGAGGAGTTTCACTTTAGTGGAGCGTGAATAAATAATACCACGAATGGGCAAGTCTGAAATATTCAATTTTTTTGTTTAAACTTTTAGAAAAAAAAAATTTTTTTTTAATAATTTTTTTATTTTAAATTTTAAAGAAAAAAAAATTAATTTTTTCTACGCAAAATAATTTTTTTTTCTGAAAATTGGACGGAACTTGAATATTTCAGAAAACCACTTACTTAAATTGTTTGTAATTATGTTTGAAATTCCGCAATGCAGTAGAAGAAAATAAGGAAGAAAGTTGGCAATAGAAAGAAGAAATCAAATGAGTCATAAAATTTCTGTCGCGGAAGATTAAAATATTATTGTAGATTACTTTTCTTAAAAGTATATATATATATAGAAAAATATGGTTATTATTTTATGTTTCTAATGGCATAGTTTTATTTAAAAAAAAAAAAAAATCCCACAACATTTATTGAGATAAAGGGAAAAAAAAAATATTTCAATTAAAAAAAACCGGGACATTTAATTAAAATTGTTTTTTTATTAGATGCTATAAATATTTTTCTTTTTAAAATAAAACAAATTGAAAATGATTTTTTAATTGAAATTTTTATTATTATTTGTTTTTTTATTTTAAATATTATTTATTCTTTTGTTTTTTATTGATAACATTTTTTTGAAAAATGTTTTAAATAATATTTTTTAAAATATAATTTGTTTAAATTATTTTTATAATATTTTTATAAATAAATAAATTTATTTATTTAAAATTAAAATACTATTTTCAAGTTTAAAAATCTAATATAAAAATTTTCATAAAGAATAAAAATATCTATATATGTATTTAGATTTTAGAAAATGTTGACTATGACATATATGACAATAAATAAACACTTAAATCTTTATAATTTTTCTATCTTACTCTCTCTCTCTCTCGTTTATATATTGATTAATAATTTATCAATTCGTAAAAAAAATGAAGGATGCGACAGCAGATTTATTATCGTCATGTTTTAGGCCACATATTTCATCACGGATTTTTTTTTAAGCAAATAATTTTTTTATTTTGTTAATTAAATATTTATTATCGTTAAATTTATCTAAGATATAAATAGACATTTTTCATTATTTATCAGTTAAAAAAAAAGTATTTTTTTTCATTGCAACTAAAATAATATAAAAAAAACAAGTATATAATATTTTTTTATAAAAATTATTGTTAAAATTATAATTATTTTTTTATACAAATTTTTGTAAATAACAAAAGATCAAAGATAAAATAATAATTTTTTTTTTTCTAAAGAAAATAAAGATATTTTTAAATTTTCAATCGATAAAAATGTTGAATAAAAAAAAAAAGAAATTTTTCAACTAATAAAAAGAAAAAAAAAATGTTTACCATTCTCATTTCTTTAAATAGATAAATTTTTTCTTTTTGTACAAAAATCATATGTAGTAAACTATGAATAATTGAGAAATCGATATTTACGGATGCATAAAATAATTTTTGAAAAAAGCAAAGAATCCATTTGAAAAGTAAATAAGGGGAAGAATTATTTTCTTTTTTTTTCTAGAGTTTTCTATAGTTGTGTAAAATATCCGATTGTTTGACAAAGGAAAAAAAAAAGTGTGGAAAAAACTTATCGAATTATTGACTTTTCTTGCATAATTGAGCCGCGACGAGAATCACCGCGGGCGTGTAAATAAAAACATATATATTTCTTTCTCGCGCGCATCAGTATTGCATCAAAAAAAAAAAAAAAAAAAAATTGGAACGTTAAAATTTTTAATTAAAAATATACAGATTATCTACCCTGTCTTTTTTTTTCTTTTTTCTACTTTTTTTTTACACCATAAATCACGATTTTCATATTTTTAGCGAAAAATTGAGAAATGTAAATTAGTAACTAAAATTCATTTTTGTAATTGGCAATCAACGCAAATGGATAATAATGAAAGGCAAAATAAATATTATGCATTCAATTATCTCAAATTATACGCATTTCTTCTTTTTTTTTTCGAAAAAAAACTTTCATATCTTCAAGTAAATTTAATATCCAAATGAGTGACTCTTCCTTTTGGTGAAAAATAAAAAAATGATAAAAAATAAAAATAATAAAAATAATAATAATAATAAAAAATTTAAACAACTTTTTAATTTCTCTTATAGAAAAATTGTTCTTCCGATGAAAAGAACATTTTTTCTTTATTAAAGTATTAATAAAATAAATTTTTAATTTTTAATAAAAAAAAATACCGATAATTAAAAAATTACCTATTTTCTCTTTTGTAATTTTATAAAACAGTTGAAAATTAAATATTTTCTTTTGAAAGTTTATTTTAACAATTTTTCTTTTTTCTGTTAATTAAAAAATTTTGTTATATTGATCTTGTATAATTTTTTCTATAATATTAAATATTTTTTTTAGAGTATCAGAATTACTTTTTTTTTAATATACAGTTTCCACTATGTTTGTGTATACATATATTTGAAAGGACGTATACAGAGCGAAAGCAATCAATGTTTTTGACTCTTAGAGTCTTCGATATTGAGACACATATATATAAACTTTAATTAAAATTTTCTTATAAAATATATATCTAACTTTTGTTTTTATAAATTTTTTTTTCTTCAAACAAAAAAAAGATAATTTTATCTGTAATAAAATTTTGTATTGCGCGCATACAGATTTCATTAAGGAAATAAGCTTTTTTACACTTGACATCACAAATTATTCAGAATCGCATAGAAAACAGAGAATCTTACACTGAATTTACTCTATCTCTCTGAATATTTGTTTCTGGCACTAGCAAATATGTTCAAGTAGACAAACTATTTCACAGTCTAATGGATTAAATTTACGAAATTGTTATAGTAAATTTTGTAATCTATATTTAATTTTTTTCTTTTACAAAATAATAAATGAATAAATTTAATTTTTAATACTCTCTAAATCTGAATTAGTAAAAATGTTTACTAATTTGAATTAGTGACTCACTTTTTGATTCTGAATTAGTAAAAGTTACTAATAATTAGTAAAATTTTACTAATTTTACACTAAGCAAAAAGTGAGTCACTAATTCAAATTAGTAAACATTTTTACTAATTGTTAGTAAAAATTCAATTTCAATTGTAATAATTGTTAGTAAAAGTTACTAATAATTAGTAAAATTTTACTAATTCAGAAGCAAAAAGTGAGTCACTAATTCAAATTAGTAAACATTTTTACCAATTGTTAGTAAAAATTCAATTTCAATTGTAATAATTGTTAGTAAAAGTTACTAATAATTAGTAAAATTTTACTAATTGAGAAGCAAAAAGTGAGTCACTAATTCAGATTAGTAAACATTTTTACTAATTCAGATTTAGAGAGTACAATGAAAAAAAATTTATTTAATTCAAATAAAAAATTAATAAATAAATATTTACTGGAACCCAATAATTTTTATTTGAATTAAATAAACTGTATTTGAAACAATTATTTCTTTATTTGAAACAAATATAATTTAATTGACTCAAATAATAATTTTTTTTAATCCAAATAAATATTTATTTGCTTATATTCAAGTAAACAATTATTTAAATTTAATTTAATTAAAAAATTATTATATTATTATTTAATTATTGATTAATTAATAATAAAATATAATATTAATAATACATTTTTTTAAAAATATTTATTTGAAAATAATTTTTAATTTCAATTGAAGTAAAAATGTGTCGACACTGCGTTGACTTTTGTGATATTAAATAATGATTAGAGTATATATATATATATATATATATAAGTGTGATAAGAATAAATGAATGGATATCCCCTCTTCTCATTGACAATCTGAGACACGATTTTCTCGTCTCTTGACTCAAGTCGACAGTACCTTTCAATGACATTCCTTTAAACTTAGAAAAAAAAAATTTACATACTTAAAAGTGAAATAATAATTGCCAATAAATTAATACTTATACTTTTTAAACAAAATAATTTAAAAAAAAAATATAATTTCTATTTTAAAATTATTTTGAAAATTTTTTTCAATTTTAAATAGTTTTTGTAAGAAATTATTTTTGTGCGATTTCTTATATAGAGACTGTTGATAATTATTGATTATAAATTTGAACTTTTAGGGTAAACATAAATATACCATTGAGAATCATATATATAAAATATTATGTGTGTATAGTGAAGTAAAGTAATAAATCTTTTTTTGAAAAGAGAGAAAAAAAAAAAAAAAAATTTATTATATGTCTTTCTTGAAGAGGTGCAGCAGCTCTTTTGAAAAGTTTGTTACATACCCCAGAAGTTTGTATGTACTTTTCCGGGAAGATGATACACAGTCTTGCAATTTTGTTTCTTCTTATACCATTCGCAGTCTTGGCAGACAGTAAACCGCATATCATTTTTATTCTCGCGGACGACTTGGTAAGTTTTACTATTTTTTTTCTTTTTTTTTTTAATTTACAAATTGAAAATACATTTTTTTTTTTAAATCGAGGAATTAATAATAGAAAAAATAGAATTTTTTTAAAGAAATCTTTTTCAAGTCTGAAAAAAATGAATATATACCCGTGTAGAAAAATCTTCTGGAACGCCTAGAGTCAAGTCTGGCGCAATCTTGAAAGCGTCTAGCATCGCTAGTCTGGAAGGTCTGGCTTGGTCCAGTTCTGGTACTACTCAGCCACTAGTCAGACTCTGAATAGCGTTGCTGGTCTGGAAAGTCTTGCCAGACCCAGCTCTGGTGCTAGACAGAAGGTCTAGATAACTAAAAAATTTTATTTTATAATTTCTAGACTGTGTCTAGCGATGCTAGACTAAAAGGTCTAGACAGACCCAGCTCTGGTGCTAGACAGAAGGTCTAGATGACTAAAAATTTTTATGTTATATTTTCTAGACTGTGTCTTGCGATGCTGAACTGAAAGGTCTAGCCAGACCCAGCTTTGGTGCTGGCTAGAAGTAATAGATAATTAAAATTTTTTGGTTTCTGGACCTTGGCAGCTTTCTAGAGCTAAGTATCTTTATCATGTTATTTTGAAACTTTACCATTTTATTTTACTTAATTAAAATTCAAAGTTTTAATTATTTCTAAAATTATGATTAAAAAGTTTATAATCATTAAAAATTTTTTTCGTTCTTTTTTATAAATTTTTAAAATTCATAAATATCAAGGATATATAAATAAAAATTTTAAACATTGAAAATTCTATGTGATGATTAATTTATTTTTATCTTCGTAAAGAGAAATATAATTATAACAAATACATAACTGAAATCTAGATCTTTACTACAAAAATATGATGTAATTAATATGGAAAAATAGTATTTTCCATCTTAGAAAAAGATATTTTGTAAAGTATCTTATAATAATTTTAACAATAATTAAAATATTTCTTTCATCTTAAAATAGTTAACCTAAAAATTTTTTTGATCAAAAATATGTGAAACACTTTGGTAAAGCTAATATAAACATTTTAAACTAAGATATTTCTGATAACTAAAAAATGACTACCAAAACATCTTATATTGAGATTCTTCTTTTTGCAGTGTTCATATTTAAATTATACATGAAGAAGAGGTATAACAAAAATTCGCTCATTTTCATTTTGTCGCATTTGAAGGCGAAGTTGAACAAATTTTTGTATAATTACATTTATCGGTATTTGAATGACACTCTCTAAAGGCGTTTTTTGTAACTCCCACATATTAATTTCACTAGACGGAAATGGATAATCAAAAATGGGTTGTTTTGGTTTCCAAATTCTACCCGTAAGAGTCACAGAGCGAAGAAATCCAGAAATTTTTTCAATTTTAAATATTTTCTTATTATTTAAAAGAATCACATTATCAGGAAATTTGGGTGATAGAATTTTTCCTTTGCATTTCACTTTCAAATGGTTTTCCCCTTCGGATTCCAATATTTCTATTTCAGATGGTATTTCCGGTTTTGTTGTTTTTATCATATACTCTTCGTGCAATCTCCTACATAATTGCGCAAGTGGCCGATTGTATGTACGCAGTTTTCTTTTAATTTTACCTAAAAGATTTTCAAATGGGAACGCCATAACATGGCTTAAACTGCAACCCATTTTTTGAACATCATCCGCTAAGTGAATCAGATGATGAAAGTTCAAAACTTGGGATTTTTTTCCGTAAAAGCTCGGCAAGGCTACAAAAAAAATCCTAAGGTATTGTTTTGCTTTGCTAGTGTATTTTAAGCAAAAAATGTCGCAACATAAAATCCGGCAAGCAACGTGAAGCAACAAAAAGTGCTGATATGTTCGTCTTTGTAAAATATACTTTAATACAACTGGACCGCAATATAACAAGAAAAAACGAAATTCAGTTGCTTTCCATTTTAGGAAATATTTTGTCGACCGCGTTTTCCTTTGAAATTCTGCAGGCACACAGCTTTTCAAAAGTTCCATTCGTTTCGACAATTCCTGGCGCAAAACAAATTGAAGACGTGCAGTTGATCCAACTGATAACCACCATTCTAACAATTTTTTCATTACTCCCAAAAAGCACAAATGCATCATGTCCAGTACAAAAGCGAAAATCATATCGATTGGTGGGGCTATTCGTGTTAATGGGGATGGTCCATGATGATGATCTTGTTGTTCCATATTTCTAAAAGATGCATCTGTTCTTTCAGCTGATCGAACAGATGGATAAACAGTGCTTGGAACGTTGACTTTTGAACCCATCACCGTGCATCTTTCGCATGCATACCTTCCTGTATGACCAATTGTACATTTTAAAAATGCCCTCGCTGGTGTATCGCAAGAAAAACATTTCAAAGATACATTCATGATTCTTCCAGATACTTCTAATCCATTTTGTAAAATGTTATTGAGATCGGTAATAAATTCTTCCATATATTCATCAACGTCAGCCGGTTTTCCATTTCCATAATAAATTCCTACTGGAAAAGGCTTATAAACATCAGAAGTTGAGTGAATTTTGCAGGCGTTTACCCACATCTGCTTTATACCAGATTTCGACACCGGTAACCCATCCACATCGATGATTAATTCAATAAGATTATTCGAGTGCAGATAAACATTAATACATCTTTCTAAACCGGGTTTCAGTCCAAAATGAACAAATTCACCTGTACCGCCATGACTGTCGCTCATAGCTGTTATTGTGTACTTAGCACTTGAAGTTTTCAAAAATGTCTTCGATGATTTTGGAAGTTCGGGAAGTAATCTTTGTCGCAAAATAAGCAACAACTTGTCCAAATGATTTTGCTGAATATTTGACTCAAGTGCCCATTCACGTAGTTCTTCAAATTCCCTCCTGACAGCAACATCATCAGAGATTTCACTGTCATTAGTCGAAGCACTCCATTCCGAAACTGATGTTAATGACAATTCTTCCTGAGCGCCAATTTCATTTGATGAGGAAAAATCACCTGTCAAATCATCACTATAAATAATTTTTAAAAAATGAGTTTTATTGTAGTGTGTAACTATCTAAATCTGTTTTACTAAGAAACTAATAATAATAATAAAAAATTATTACTTCAATTAATAAATTTTACAATAATAAATTAATACCTTTTTGTATAAAAATGTATAATTATTTAATATTAAATATTATTTATATTTTTAAGAAGTTGTTTTGCATTTTAAAATATTATTGCGTATTGAGAATATTTTGGTCCATTTATTAAAGTTACTTTTTTATTTAAATTCCAATTTAAAAAAATATTCACATACAATTTTACATTAAATGAATAATATATTGGTCAAATTCTCAACTACTTATTAAATAAGAATTAATTAGGTCCGTAAAATAAAAAAAATAAGTTAAAATTGTACTAATTTAAATTTGAGAGATATTATTATAGATAAATTTGTATTCTTACTTCTATCATGAACGATATTTATGTTGTCATCATTTGCCTGGACAACATTTATGTCATCGTTACTGGAAACAATATTTGCATCGTTATCCAATTCGGAAGTATTAGTGTGATTACTCACATTAGAATTACTTCTATTGAAGGTATCAGGATCAGATTCAATTTGTATTTGGTTCGCTATTAAAAAATTTTTTACTAAGTAATGAAAGTCAATTTTATTTATAAAATTCTGTAAACTTAAAAAATTAAAGAATATATATATAATATTACTTAAAAGTTAAGAATTGTTTTTACCTTCATTGTTTTGTGGTAAAGACTCATCGGATGTACTAGAACTCAGCGGTTTTGTTGAGTGAGATTGACAAAATCGCTTATGAGCTCGAAATTTTCGAACTCTCAGGGCAGTTAACCTTCGTTTTCTATGTTCCGAATCACCCATTATTTTGCACCAGGAGTGTCGAGACAATTGAAAATTTTCAAAGTTGGTCAAAATCACTTTAAACTTGTTACTCGACGCTTCTTATAGTGGCTGAAATCGGTTCTGACGTTAGATGTTTTATTGTTTGTTTTTGTACAGAAATAATTACAAATTTAATTCAATTTTTACTTGCCTTCTTTTCATGTATCGTTAAGCAAAAACTTTTCACATGTTATTAATAAACGTCTACTTATAGTAAAATTCTCTAAACAATATTTTTCAATTTTAACAAACATACAACTCACATAAGTTACTATAGTATACTTTATGCTACAGTCACAGAATAACACGAAAAGCAGGGAAACGCATGCGTGCTTGTAAGTAAGCAACGTAAGCAAATATTTCAAAACTTGAGTCCAATATCTAACCTTCACTTGTTCTGAGAGGTTTCTTTTGATGAATTTATGAAGAAAATTTTATTTTATAGTTTCAAAATTAAAAATTTTTTAAATTGTTTATGTACATTTTTAAAAATAAATATAATTCCTCAATTAACGGTCATAACAGAAATGCTAATATCTTATTGGTTTGAGGCAACGGAATCATCCAATGAGAGAATATCACGTGATGGAAGTCACGTGACTAACGCATGTTGAGGAACAGTGAAACCATGATCGCCATGATCCAACAGTGATTGCCGTGTTTGCAGTGGTGTGAATATAATATAAAGTGAATACATCGATTTAGAACGCGAATAAAAATGTCGACAAAAAAAAATAAGAAAGCAGGTAATTTTTATATTTCCTTTAAATATTTTATAATGACTTTTTTAACGATAATGCAGTTCTAGGTTATGTTAGGAAATACATTATTTTTAACAGTTTTTTTAAAATAGGTAATGTCTTCTATTTAATGTCGATAGGTATAAATTCATTCCCCACGTGGAAATATAAAATTAAATAAAATGAATATTAAATAATTTTAATATTCTCTTTTATATAAATTGACGATATACTTTTTTTTATATTGTTTTTTTTTATAAGAAGCAAAACATGTGTTTAAAACTTTATAATAACTTTTCTAACGATACTGCAGTTTTAGGTTATGTTGAGAAAAACTAACTAAAAAAGCGTTTGAATTTAATTTATGAATATGTAACACTTGTGCATTTTACATTATTTTTAACAGTGATTTTTTTAAATCGGTTAAGCCTTCCATTATTTTATCTTGACAAGGTTTTATCCCGATATGTATAAATTTATTCCTCACGTGGTCATCTTCAAATATAAAAAATTTTTTACGATTCTATTTTATATAAATTGACGATATATGTACTTTTTTTTATTTTGTTTATTTTATAAGAAGCAAAACATGTCTTTAAAACTTTATAATAACTTTTCTAACGATACTGCAGTTTTAGGTTATGTTAGGAAATATAAAATTTTTGAATGAGGCAAACGTTTAAAAGAATCTATTATCGTGTAAAAGTCGTGTATTTTAAATTAATTTAATGAGTGAACTTATCTATTTTTAATTTTCAAATTTGTATAAATTCAGTCTTAAAGAAAATTAATTGGTAAAAATTTAAGGTTACAACTTTTTAAAGCATTTTAATTAAAACAATATTTTCATATTAAATTTTTGCCATTTAGGTAATTCGAAGGCTGCTAAAAAAGTCCATGTCGAAAAAGAATATACTTACGACATTATTTTGTTTGTTGAACAAGACAATGAGTTCAGTAAAAGCAAAAAGTCGATTGATATTGTTCCTGGAATTTGGGTTAAATTTAATAAAGCTAGAAATTGTTTAGTAACTCGATTTCTTCCACCTCCATATACTGAGGTTAATCTTCGCGACTTTCATAAAATGGTTAAAAATTGCTCACAACCGTTAGAAATTTGGCCAGAATATGCTGTAGAATTAAGAGGAGGTGCTGGTATGTTATTATATTTATGATTTTTTTTTATTTTTCAATTCAGTTTTTGTAGGTACATATTTTTTAATAATTTTTTTTCTGTATAGATGTATACTCAGAAGCATTAAAAAGAATGGAATTTTTAAAAACCACTAAAGAATACGCATACACCACAGACATAGAAAAAACTGCAGAAACGATAGCAGATGAATTAACAAAGAAAAAAATGAAATATAAGAGAAGTAAAACTGATTCTGATACTCAGGAAAAATTACTAAGATCAGCACCTACATTAAATAATCAGAAGGAACTTTTGAGTAAAGACATAAATGAAAATCAATCGTCGCTTCATTTGTCAAAAGAATTAAATGTTGATGATAGTTTAAATTTTCAGGACATGTCGATATCGATTGAACATAGTGGTAAGATTAATCATAATATTTATAAATTTTTTTTTTCATTTCGTGAATTTTAATATTTATATTAAAAAAGTAAAAAAAATATTTATCTATGTAAAAATTAAGGTGTTTATTTAAATTTAATTTTTCAGTATCTAATGATTCTCTAATGTCAGTTGATGAAAGAGATAGTCTTTTAGAGAAAAACATACATTCAACGTTACAAAATGACGAAAATGAAGATAAATTAGGTTCAAATAATACTCAAAAAAAAAATGATGATGCTTTTGCAAAGAAAAGTACTGTAAATTTGAACGCGTTCGCTTTTAATCCGGAGACAACCGAAGAGGAACGGGGTATGTGCTTTAAATATTTAATTTTTGTTTTATAAATATTAATATAATTTTTTTTAATTACATTGTAATTATTATTCAATTTGTTTCAGATAATCCTATATTACTTTTTGAACGAATTGTAAAAGCCATTCATTTATTGTACCTTGAACAAAACGAGCTCAAAAGGCTGATTATTGACTTAACTCCTGTAAATGCTAACCAACCTTTACAAAAATCATTACCCGAACTATTGGAGGAAAAATATTGTTTGTATATACCAGTCAAAACTATGGAAGAATTTGAGAAATTAAACCAGTTGATTCTTCTCGAGAAACCATTTCGGAAAGAATTTGTAAGTAAAAAATTTGCTCTTAATATAATATATTCTCATAAATATAAATAATAGGGGGGCGCATGAAAATCTCATAAAAATCATTAGCTAGAATTTTCATTCGTATGAATTTCATTTGACAGAATTTTCTTGTAGACGAATTTTCATTTTTCGAATTAGCATTTGAGTTATCTTCTTTGTAAACGAAATTCCAACTTTGTGTTTTAAAGCATTATAATTTAAAGCAATTTTAATTTATCAAAATTTTAATTCAACAGAATTTTAGTTATTTAAATTGTTTAATGTTAGAATTTTTAATTTATCGAATCTCCATTTGTTTGAATTTTTATTTACACGAATTGTTATTTGATAGAATTTCTAAAACACTGAATTATCATTGGATAAAAATTACAAATGTCCGAACAAATAAAAGTCAGAAAGATTTCGGCGCAGTTTTTAAAATTGATCAATAAGAAATTATTAAGAAAATTGTGATTCATCTATTTTAAAAACTGCGTTGAAAACTTTCTGACGTTTGTTTGTTCAGTCAATTTGTAATTTCTATCAAATGATAATTCGGTGTTGTAGGAATTCTATCAAATAACAATTCGTGTAAATAAAAATTCGAACAAATGGAGATTCGATAAATTAAAAATTCTGACATTAAACAATTTGAATCACTAAAATTCTATAGAATTAGAATTTTGATAATTAATAAATTAATAAATAAAAAACAATAAATAAATAATTTTCTAATTTTTTTAGAAGTCTTCAGTGTTAGTTTTACTGAACAAAGATAATGTTTTGTCGAGAAGTTTGAGAAATGTTTTAAAACAATTCATCTCCCGAGATGTAATCATCAATTACACAGCTCAAAAACAAGTAGAAAATAAAGCCATATTCAAAAGTACAGAATTTTGCAAAGTGTTAAAAGGTAAGATCCTATATTTCCAAAGAAATTATTATTGTTATCATTATTACAATTTTCTAATTTTATTTCAGCTGTTTTGTTTGCGAAATATAATTCCGCGACAAACATACAAATTGATGAGCAAAAATTTTACAAGGAGCTTGGAAGTACGATTTCCAACGCAGTGGATTGGGACGGATTCCGTGCTTTCAGGAAACAAAAAAAAAGTGTTGGTAACACTTAGAAAGAGGAGTAACATTCAGAATTTACGTATCTTACCGTTTCGTTTGAATATTTATAAATTTTAAATTAAAATATGTTAAATATTTTATCATTTAAATATTTAAAAAACTTTTGTTAATATTGTTCTAACAAATGTTGTATTAAAATTATCAAGAATATGTTTATTTTTAAAGAATTTTAAATTGTAATAAAATTAATACCAAATGTACTAAATTTGAATTTAAATAATATTCCTTATCGCTCGCGTTATATTTATTGAAAATCGGTATCAGATTTTTGTTAAAAAATACTAAATGTTACTTAGATTTTTTCATCTGATTCGTGTGATATTTATTGTTTTTTTTTTGCTAATGGATAGTCAGAAGCCTGCTAGTTTCTTTCTAGCAATCAATTAATTTCTGACTAGCGGCTAAATAGCGTCTGATTAGACCGTCTGACTAGCTCGGCTGGCTAGCGTCTGGTCGCTTTCAGCGTTACACTTTTGGCCAGCCGCTGGCTAGAGTTTCTAGCCAGCCACTAGACTGGAATCTAGACTCTCTGGCCAGAATCAGGCCTGCCCCAGAAGATTTTTCTACACGGGTAGCAAAAAAAAAAAAATAATAATATTCTTAATTTAAGAATATATTTTTGTCACCTATAGTAAAATTTTTGCATTTTATTCTTACAATAAAACATAAAGTTCCGAAAATAAAAAAATAAAAGAATTATTTATTTGATATTTTTTGTTGATTCAAATATTTGATTATTATTAATTATTAATTTATTTGTTATTTATTATAATTATTATTAGATATACTGTTTTCGACCTAAATATTCCTTATAATTTTCGTTATAAAAAATTATTCTTATTTTGAGAATAATTTTTTTTTCCACTATTTTTATAAATAAATATTTTTTCAATAAATTTAAATATGAAAAATATTTGTTTAATATTTAATAAAAAATTTATATTGTTTCTAATAATTTAAAAAGGGATGGAATGACGTTGGATTTCATGGATCGGGTCAAATTTTAACACCCAATATTGATGCACTTGCATACACTGGACTTATGTTGCACAATTATTATGTTACGCCAATTTGTACACCTTCAAGAAGTGCCCTAATGACAGGCAAATATCCAATTCACACCGGTATGCAACACAGTGTAAGTTATCATTTTTTTTATTTTTTTTTTATTTTATTTTTTTAATAAATAATGCTTTCAATTTTTGTATAAAATAAAGGAAAATATTTGTATTGTCTCTTTTGGTTAAATTAATCAAAATATTTCTTTGTATGAAAATTTTATTGTTTATTTTAAACAATATTTGATAAAAGAAATAAATTTTTCCAAATTTCTATACAATTTCTGTCAATTAATTTTTTTAATTGGCAAAAAAAAGGAAATAATAAAATACAACCGTGACTGGCACTCATTATTATTATTTTTATTATTATTATTGGAAATCGATATAAATCGTTTTTTTTTGCTTTATTATTTAAGAACGCTAAATCCATGAAAAGTATCAGAAAATAGAAATTTGACAATTTTCACAGTATGTTACGTAATTTCAACCATCTGTGTCCCGGAAATCGCGAATAAATTTTCAACACATTCAATTCACATATGCAGTAAATATAAGAAAATATAAAAAAAAAATTTCTTTCTTTTTTTTAAATTAAAAAAAAAAAATTATAAATTTTCTGATTGAAATTAATTAAAAAAAAAAAAAATATTAAGATATATAAATTTTAAAATAATTTATTAATTTTATAAAATAGTGACTTATATATATATACTTTTTGAAATTTGTGCGCACGTACTTTATAGAACATCAGTAGAAAAGTCTCTGCAAGATCAGACATTCCCAAGCATTTGTCTTACCCATTTTATTCTCATATATATATATATATATATATATATATATATTTCCTTTTTTTTATGGATTCCCAGGGTGAACACATTTATATTATTCTTCGCACGGAATGTTGTTCATTTTTATGATTAATAAAAAAAATTTTATTTTCAATGGAAAATGTATATTTTTTTATACACAAACTTCATGAAAGTAAAAACTGATAATTTTTATATTGACTCATCTTATTAACCATATGTATTTTATTTTTTTACAGCATACTTAAAACGCACATAAATAATTTTAATATTAAAAGAAAATTTTTTTAAAATAAAAAAATATTCTTATTTTAAGATTAAATTTCAAAAAATGGTTTTCAATTTTTTTTTCATTTTTAGTTTGAAAATATTAAAAAAAAATATTCTCATTTAAAGATTATTTACTATAAATAGAGTAAATTAATTTTTACAAAATTTAAATATTAAAACAATAATATTATTTTTCAAAATTTTTGAAAATAATTTTCTTTCACACAATATTGTATTAAAAAAAAAAAATGTAGAGTGTATATAAAAAATTATTTTTATCTTCCTTTTTTTTTTTATTTGAGTTTGTGTTTTCTTTAAATATTAAGGTTCTTAAAGCCGCTGAACCCAGAGGACTGCCACTTAATGAAAAATTACTACCACAATATTTGAAAGAACTTGGCTATAGAACGCACATTGTTGGAAAATGGCACCTGGGACATTATAAAAAAGAATATACTCCACTGTATAGAGGATTTGACTCTCATCTTGGATTTTGGACTGGTCATCATGATTATTTTGATCATACAGCAGTCGAAGAGGTAAAAAAAACAATATTCTAAATTTAAGAAAATAATAATAATAATATTATTTTATTTTTTATTGTAAAATATTTTTTTAAAAAAATTTTTTTATCTTCCATTATTTTTTGATATAATAATTTTTGCTCATGTTATTCAAATGGGATGTAACAACATATAAATTTTATGCCGCGTATGTAACAAAAACATGAGAGGATATTTTACTATCTACATTAAATTGTGCAAGAAGAAGCGATTTAATATTCATTGAACTGAAACTGATAGCAAATTAAGTATCTTATTTTTTCCCTATAGAAGAAAATAAAATTTAGTTTTTATGATTAGAAACTAATTTGAGTATTTATTTTTTTTTTTGTTATTTACTTATACTCTAATATATATATAAGGTATATTTATTTTATTTTAATATATAGGCAATATTAAAATCTATTTTATGTCAAAATTAGTAATACACCGAGAAAAAAGATTTCTTTGATTCAAAGAAATCAATTTCTTTGACAAATTTTTCTTTGATTCAAAGAAAATTTATTTGTTTCAAACAAATTATCTTTGATTAAAAAAAAATTATCTTCGTTTCAAAGAATTTTGTTATTTAATTCAAATAAATGTTTCTTTGACACTAGATCAATGTTAGAATTTCTTTAATTTAATGCACAAATTTCTTTCATTCAAAGAAAATTTTTTTGAATCAAAGAAATTTTCTTTGAAACTAAAAAGCTTTATTTGTTTCAAAGAAAATTTTATTTTAAATGAAAGAAAATAAGTCAAAGAAACTGGTTTCTTTAAAGCAAAGAAATCTTTTCTCTGGATGTATATTAAAAATAGTATTAACTCTTTTTGAATAAATTAATTTTTAATTAAAAAGATTCTCTTTTATAATATAATTTATGTTTTTTTTTCTTCTCAGGTATAGTATATAAAGAAAAATATAATTAAATTAAATAATAATTCTCGCATCTTTTTTTTTTGGGGGGATATATGACTTTTATATTTTATCACTTTGTCCTTTATTTCTTAGCCCCAAAGGCTCTTTTCCCGTAGAATCTGTAAATAAAGGGTTTCATATGGATGATAAATAATTCATCTCACACGATTCTCGTTTGAAAATTATTAATCAAGATAAATATATATATATTTTTTTTTTACTTTTAATTTTTATTCTATTTATTATTATTATTATTATTATTATTATTATTATTTTATTATTATTATTATTTATTAATATTTATTTCTTTATTTTAATTTATAATTATACACACAGAAAAATATTTCTTTGAATCAAAGATACGTATTTCCCTGTATCAAGAAAACATTTTTTTGAGTGTAATTTTGTGTTTAGATTTTTTTTTAAATTTGATAAAAAAAATTTTTTTTTCAGGAACAATGGGGTTTCGATATGAGACGAGGATTAGATCCAGCGTGGGATCTTCATGGGAAATATTCAACTCGTATTTTTGGCACTGAAGCAGTGAAAATAATAAAGAATCATACGACAAGTCAACCTCTTTTTTTGTATATTGCTCATGCGGCAACACATTCTGCAAATCCATATAACCCATTGCCAGCACCAATAGAAACACTTTCGAAAAATATTGCCTGTGACACTGTTAGTCATCGTTGTAATTTTGCAGGTAACATTTTACAGTTTCATTCAATTCCATTTTTTTTTTTTTGATTATTATTTTATAATAATATAATAATTATTTTAAAATAATAATATAATAATTATTTTATAATAATAATATAATAATTATTTTAAAATAATAATATAATAATTATTTTATAATAATAATTTAATAATTATTTTATAATAATAATATAATTATTATTTTATAATAATTAAGAAAGATAAATTCCGTTTATATAAAGATACATTTTTTCATTATTCATTTCAGTATAGTAAGGGACAGTTATAGTCAAGACAGAAATTGAATTTTTTATTACTTTGACTTAACGAAATATCGCGAAAATTCGTAACAGTAGAAATAAGTAGAAAAAGTAAGGTTTTGGTAAGACAAAATAATAAATATAATTTTAAGTATTAAGGGACAGTTATAGTGAGACAAAAATTAAATTTTTTTTTAAATTAAAGAAGAATTATTGTAACTGTAGAAATCAGTAGAAAAAGAAAGTTTTGGTCAGACAAAAAATGTACGATTTTGTTTCCAGTGGTAATGGACAGTTATAGTCAGACGAAAAATAAATTATTTTTTTCTCGTCTAGTATCAACAGAATAGTAATAGTAAAAATCAGTAGAATAAATGATTTTTAGTCAGACGAGAAATGTTTTAAAATCCCTTGACATTATAATCAGTAGTAAAAGACAGTTTATGTCAGACAAAACGTGTTGAATTTTTCCAGTTTGTATTAAAATAGATACTCAATTTTTATGTATTCCTTGTTGAGTAGTAAAACCCACGTGTAGTCAGACAAAGAAAACTTTGACTCATTTTTTTCAGTAGTAAAATACAACTATAGTCAGACGAAACTTTTTTTTTTTTATTACTGAAAGTGGTATCAGAAGAGTATTAAAATTTAGTAGAAAAATTAGTTTACTATCAGACGCAGAAATTAGAAATTCTTTCAAAATACTGAAGAAAAAAAAATAATTTATTTTTAATTATATTTTTTTACATGTTAATTATTGTTTTCTTTGTTTTTCTTTTAAAGCCATGGCTCAAGAAATGGATACAACAGTTGGTCAAGTTATTAAAGCTTTGTACGATAAAAATATGCTAAATAATAGCATCATTGTATTTTCAACTGATAATGGTGGTCCAGCTGCTGGATTCAATTTAAATCACGCTTCTAATTGGCCTTTAAGAGGTGTAAAAAATACTCTATTTGAAGGTTAGTTATTTTATTGAATTAAAAAGTAAAATAATTTTTTTCTTTCTACTTTATTTTTTGTTTATTACTACTACAAGAAATATACAACAATATATGTCATAATAAATTTTTATTTTTTCCCTCCCTCTTTTATAAGATACTGAACTTTACGAGCTTATGGTTACATTATATTGTTGTAATATTCCTCTCATATATAGTTATTATATGACCATTACAACCAACATTAAGCAAGATTTAAGATTATAAACTAATCTATTATATATTATTATTATTATTATTATTATTATTATTATTATTATTATTATTAGAGAACATTATTTTCAAATTACATGTAAAATAATTGCTCCAATTCTATATATATCAATAATAATAATAACAACAAATGTTTTGTTAATATAAAATATTAATTATTTATTGATGTATTAAATTAATGATAATTTTTTTTATTAAGAAAATTATTTTTTAACTTAATTTAACGATAAAATAGATTACACAGAGCGAATTAAACTAATGGCTAATTGTTCAATAATAATTAAACTCTATTATTGTGTATTGTTGTCCAGGAGGTATTCGAGGTACTGGAATCCTTTGGTCGCCATTGTTAACTAGAACAGGACGTGTGACTAAGCAATTGATGCACATCAGTGATTGGTTACCAACTCTTTTAGCCGCTGCCAATAATACCGTAACTAATTTAAATATTGATGGAATTAATTTATGGAATTCATTAAAAGACGATCGCGAATCGCCAAGAAAATCTATACTTCACAATATCGATGATATTTATGGTAATTCAGCAATAACAATTGGAAATTTTAAGCTTCTCAAAGGTATATACATATTTTTTATTTTTTCATATATAATAAAGAAAATTTTCTTAAATTTTTAAATTTATTTAATTCAAAAAATTTTTTTTTTTCAAATTAATAAAGTAATATTGAAAATACAAATATTTATAGATATTTTTTACTAAAAACAAAGTCTTAGGGATAAAATTAATTATTAAAAAAATATTAAATTTTCTTTTTTAAGGATCAACGTACAATGGAACATATGATGGTTATTATGGACCAGATGGGAGAAAAATCCGTTACAATGAAGAATTAATTATAAACGATATGACGGGTAATTATCTTAAAAATATTGGAATGAACCTATCGGCGAAAGGAATATTAAGTTTGCGAGAAAAAGCAACTTTAAAACAATGTCCTGATAAAAATAACAATCTTCCACGATGTAATCCCATCAAAAAGCCATGTCTTGTGAATATTTCTGAAGATTATTGCGAGCAAAACGATCTATCTACTATGTAAGTATAATATACATTATGTCACTTACTATACTGAAAGGGGGAAAAAAAATAATGAAAATACAATATACATTGTGTCTGACATTAACTGACTTTTACTACTAATTAGAAAGTTGAAAGAATTTTTAATTTCTTGCCATTGCAAAATAATTTTTCCACTAAAATAGAAATTTTCTCCTAATACCACTTTTAGTACTAATTAACAAAAAAAGTTTTGTCTGACTATATTTGTCTTTTACTACTGAAAAATTATAAAATTCAATTTTTTTTTGTCTGACTACAAGTGGGTGTTACTACTTAACAAACAGAAGCGTAAACATTGAGTTTAGCCTTACATAAACTGTTTTTACAACCAAGTATAAAGTTGGAAAAGATTCAATACGTTTTGTCTGACATAAACTGTGTTTTACTACTGATTAAACTGTTACGGGATTGCAAAACACTTCTCGTCTAACCAAAACTCACTTTTTCTACTAATTTCTTATATAATAAAAAAATATATATTTCCCTTTTTAATTTAAAAAAAAATCTACTGTCTGACTATAACTGTTTCTTACTACTAAAAAAAAACAACGAAAAATCGTTCATATTTTTGTCCTACCAAAACTTACTTTTTCTACTGATTTACCTAATATTTTCTTTTAATTTTGTATGAACAAAAATTTAATTTCTGTCTGCCTATATAACTGTCACTTACTACTAAAATGAATAATATTTATTAAGAATAAATTATTTATTTAAATTAATATAAAAATGATTTAAAAATTCTTTGCTGTTACAATAATACTTGTAACAATATTTATATACAATTAAAACAACAAAACATTATTATATAAGAGATTCTTTAAAAAGGATTTTTCTTTATTTTATTATTTTTTTTTTAAAGAAAATATTTTTCTCTTGATCCTCAGGTATCCTGAAGTCTTAAAAGAGCTTACAGAAGAGTTGGAAAAATACCGAGCATCAGCATTACCGCCCGGAAATCTTCCACTAGACAAAAAAGCTGATCCAAATTTATGGGATCATACGTGGACCAATTTTGGAGATTACAATAGGACATCAAATAAAAATACACATATTTTAACATATTAAATATTATGTAAGTGCATAAATTATAATTTCTTTAATTATGTGAAATTTTTTTTATCAATTTAAAAATTATATCAACAATTAGTAATAATTTTTTTTTTTATTGGATTAAATAAATTATATTTTTTTCAAAAAAGATAAACAATATAGTCTATAATAATTATGTTAGAAAATATAATGTATAAAAATTTATTTATTAATTTTTTTTATATTTATGATTAATTAATTAATTAATTAATACTATTGAAATACTATATTTATTATTTATTAATCGAATAATTGAGTAATATTCTATTAATTTATTATGTTTATCAAATATTTATTTATTATATCAATATAATTTTTTTATAATAATTTTTTTGATATATTAGAGAAATATTTAACTATACATTAGTAAATGTTTAAAAAATTTGTTTTAGGTGCAAATTTTTTTTCAATTTTTATCGTTAAATTTTAAAATCATTTTTTATATTCTATATATGGCAAAAGTTACCATGCGAAATTTATTTATATAAATGGCTTAGTGTGAATCTAGACAAGTTGAAAAATAGAGGCGTTTAAAATCAGATTTCGAAGGACCATTTTTATCATTGAGCACATCGAGAGAATATACAGTATGTGAAGAAATTATAGTTATAAATTTCATCGAGCGGAAATACTATAAGCTTTTGTTTTTAGTGACCTGAATGATTTTTTTTTTTTACTTTTTTTTTTTTAAATATTTTTTTCTCCTTCGGGGAATCTTTTATATTTTGTTATATTTATACAATTATTATTAATAAATATTTATTTATAACATTTTTTTATAATAATTTTATTATAATTTTTAATAAATATATTTATTTATAACATTTTTTTATAATAATTTTATTATAATTTATAATAAATATATTTATTTATAACATTTTTTTCTAATAATTTGATTATAATTTATAATAATTATATTTATTTATAATAATAATTGTTAATATATATTAGATAATGGATTTTTTTCGCATTTTTTTAAATTAAATAATATAGTGTTATTTTATTGATCAGAGTAAATAATTAATATCAGGAATATTTTTTTTTTAATGTAATAATTTAGTTAAAAATAATTATTTAAAAAATTTCTCAAAATTTATAGAAATTCTTTTTTTTCATAGCTTTTTTTTTAATTAAAGCATTAACCTGAACTTTCTCTAAAGCATTACAGCTTTTTCTGTCATTAAAGAGGACTAAAAATGTAATATATAGCCGCGGTTACGTATAAATAATGTTGTATACAGTGTTTATTGTTTTCTTTCAAGATTTAACTTGCTTTAAACAAAGAACGCACTAATTGAAAAATATCTTCGTGTCAATAAGCTTTTTTTTTGGGAAAAATAAACAATCGCATAAGCCACGCTATTAAAAACTTCGTGTCGAAGAACTGATTCTTGTGGATTAAATATTCAATTCTTTATTTCTAAAAAAAAAGAAAAGTTCCTTGCATTTTCTTTTTTTTTTTATTATTATTTTTTAAATTAAATTAATCAATTTTTTTTTAAAAAAAAGGTAAGAAAAGAAAAATTGGTGTCAAGTTACTTATATAGCGAAGAAATGTTGAAGGATCGATTATGTACTAGTTTCGTGCATCTTAAAAACTGAAGAATACTTAATTTGATATTCAGATTAATTTTCCTTTTTACAAACCTTTATGTATATAACTATATAGTCATGATTTATATTCGGTAATTTGATGGGGGAAAAAAAAAATCATGTTTATATTATACTTTACTTTGTGTTTAAAAAAAAAAAATTTTTTTTCATATTCAATTTTATTTAAATTCTCCTATGTTATTATTAAATATAATATTTAAAAATAAATAAAATTTATAATCACAGATGTATTTTTTAAATTAATTAGAAAAAAAAATTCATTTTAATGCATTGTCGTGATTGAAATTCCATGATGTATGTATACTATTATAAGATTAATCGTTACACGCAAACCGTTTAGCAGTAAATAATTGATGACCGCAGGAGGAAAATTTTTTTATTTTTTTTTTTTAAATTTCGATGGGAAAAAAAAATAATCTCAGCTCAAAAGTTGAAATATTTTTTTTATTTTTACAAGAATTGGAAAAAGAAATTAAAATAGTAAATAAAGGAATAAAAATAAATAAAATAATGTAAAATTTAGAAGAAAAACAAATTTTCCATTTTATATCAAGAGACTAGTGAATGAAGCAAATTATAATCGCGAGTACAACGAGATGAAAATAGATAAGTAGTATATGAAAGTAACTTTATATCTTAAAAATATAAAGAATCGTATTTCAATTTTTCTTTACATATATACAAAAAAATCAAATTAAAATATTCGAAAACCTATTTTGAAATCTTTGAAAAACTTTGATATTTTTATTTCCTATTCTTTAGAATTTCCCAAGAGACTTTCACTTGCTACAAAGTAGGAAGTAACATGTGTATTTTCCTTCCATATATATATTTTTTATTTATGTCAATCCTCCATCGGATTTCTTCTTTTCATTTTGAAAATTTTTTTTTTTTTTTTCTTTCACTTTTATATTTGTTTCATCAAGAACAAAAACAATCAAATTTCTCTAATCGTGGATTTATCAAAAGATATATGACATAAAAATTTCTTTTGTAAGATTTATCATTTTTTTTTTTTTTCATTTCAGAAAAAAATATATCCTATTTTTCGTTAAAAATTTATTCCTTAATGAATATTAAAAAAAAAAATGTAGGTTTTGAAATATTTTTTTTTTAAAATAATTTACATGCTTCAATACACTGGTTTATTTTATACCGATGCATTTACTTAGCCTCTTTTTCTACACTAACATCTCATATTATTTATTATACATTTCCAACTCGATAAATCTATTTTTTTTTATTGATAAAATTATTGATTAAATATATATGAAATAAAAATATTTACTGTTATAAAAATTAAAAATTATTTTATTATATTATTTAATAAATTTAAAATTATTTTATTTTAATTTATATAATTTATTAAATAACAATAATGTTAAAATAAAAAAAAAAAAAATTCTGTCCTACAATGGAAAAACATACGTAAATGACATGTAAATATGTACGTGACACTTTACATATGTTTTTCCATTGTGGGTCAATATTAATAATAATAATAATTATTATTATTATTAATAATAATTTATAATTAATAATTATTAACATTGCCACTAATAATATCAGTTTTTGTACAATAATAATTATTATTATTATTATTATTAATAATAATTTATAATTATTAATTATTAACATTGCCAATAATAATATCAGTTTTTATACAATAATAATAATTATTATTATTATTATTATTAATAATAATTTATAATTATTAATTATTAACATTGCCTTTAATAATATCAGTTTTTATACAATAATAATAATAATAATAATAATAATAATAATAATAATAATAATAATAATAATAATAATAACAATAAATAATAAAAAATAATAAAAAAAATAATAATTACTAAGAGGCGAAAGATTTATTTACGATTTCTAAATATATGCAAAAAAGTCACAGCGAGTGCTTATAGGTATTTGAAAATTGTATTTCAACGATGTGGAATATATTATTGAAAAAAAAGAATATATTTATATATATATATATATATATATATATATATATATTCGTCCAATCGGCAAATATTTAATGGAAAATAGGGAAGAAAATGGAATTCCAGATTGGAAATATACTTGAAAAGGTGTATTTCTGTTTGATAGCAAAAGTTACTTATTGCATATCAATAGTATGGGTTCAAGTGAATTTTATGCTTCTTACTTTTATATAAGATTTTACTTTTCAAATACACATTTTTTCTTCATAAATATCAAGAAAAAAAAAAAATTTATTTTTTATAACACGCGAATATATAAAATATTATAATTAAAGCGCAAATGTATTTTTAATATTGAACGCAAAATTATTAATAAATCAATGAATTTTTAAATAATTTATTTACATTTTTAAATGTTTACTAATATTAATTTTCATTATTATTTTCAATAATAATAAAAAAAATTATTAATCCTACATTTGTCAAAAAAAAAAATTTCTTAATAAATAACTTGATTTTTTCAAATTAAAAATATAGAAAAAATTATTTTTTTCTCCGTTTCTTTTTTAAATATAGAATTTTTGATATTCTCTATTATAATTTTCTTTGCGAAATAAATAAACGCAAATTCGTTTTCAAACATAAGAACGTAGTTTGAGAGAAATAGTCTATCTTAAATAATCATTCGTTGAAATGCAAAAACTTGAATAATAGCGAAAGAAGCCAGCTGCGTGGAAATATATATATATATATATATATATATATATATATATATATATATATAAATGTATATATGTAAATCTATATAGCAATTGTCTTATAACGATCAATATTTTTATAATCAACGTTCAAACATTTCGTTCATATATGAATTTCTTTAATGTAAGGTATATATTCTACATATGTGTCTATATAATATATGGAAAAATAAGGAAGAAAAATTGTAAGTTTTATCATAAAGATGAAGTTTTTTTTTTCTTTTCTTATATATATTTGAATAAAAGGACCAATTTTATATTCCATCAGCATTTCAAATTGACTTTCTTGTTATTAGTATTATTATTATTATTATCATCATTATTATTATTTAAAACTTGAAAAGAATCAATGAACAAGGAAAAATCCTTTTATACAATTTCTTTTTATATCAAATACTTCTAACAATAGATTCATAAGAAATTACTTATCAGAGGTCCTCTATTTCATGTACCTTTATACGAATATACTTGAATTAAAATCCGTTATAGAGGGAAAGCTTTTTTGTGAAATAAAAATTTAAATGTATTTTCAAAGAATAGCATTAATTTGCAATATCTATATATATGTATATATATATAGAGAGAGAGAGGGGGGGGGTGGTTACTTATAGGTGTAAAAAAACTTTTATCGTATAATATTCCACTTTTGAATGAAATACATCTCATTTTATAGAACAACATTTTTATGCAAAAAGAAAGGTCAATTTTTATATATATATATTTACACATCCATTTACTTAACAAATTTATTTCAATGAAATTCCTTCCGAGTCATTTCATTTACAAGCATTAAAAATTTAATTTTATTGATACTAAAACAAAAAAAGATATTCTAAATATTTTTATTTCCATTTTTATAAGATAAATAATTATAAAATTAAGAAATATTCTTATACTTCAAGAATATTTATTTCAATAATTCGAGAATAAAAATAAAAAATTTAAGTGTTTAAAATAAAAAAATAATAAAATAATAAAAAATAGGAATATACAAAAAAGTAAAAAAGAATAAATAAATAAATTTTATAAATTTATAAATTGTGAAACAAAAATTCAATAATAAATTAACTTTTTGTACTTTGAAAAAATAATTATCTTTTGACTATTTGCACTATGGTTTAAACTGGATTAGCATTATTTCCATTTTTAATCTTTTTTTAATTTCTTTTCCACGCTTCTTCTTCTTCTTTTTTTTTTTACATATACAGCTTCCGGAAAAAAAACGTTCATTTTCGTTATATAATTCTCTTTGTTTACTTTCTTTTATATCCCGCGCCGCACATTCAAAGAACAATGCGAAATTTACAGAAAAAAAATAAAAATTAACAATAAAAAAAAATCTATCTATTTTTATTATACAATTTAATTGTGTTAATTGCTCTCTTTAAAAAAAATACAATTTAAAGAAATTCTCTTTTTTTATTAATCAATTTCTTTTTTTTTTTTTTTGCAAAAATCATAATTAATTTTTGTAAATTGGCAAATATAAAATTTAAAAAAAAAATTAGTGCAATAAATTAAAAGATTTAAAAGGATTTAAAGCTATATTTGGAAGAAGTTGTTAAAAGGAGAATTTGCCATAAAACATTTATTGTTATATTAATATATATTTTCATCAGGTGGTAAATCATTCTTTTATTAACGACATTATTAAACGCTCTTTTTATATACTATATGGAATTATTGGGATACGAAAACTATCTGCAATATATATCAGTCAAACAACCCCTTACACTAAGTAGGAAACTATAAATAATTCTCTTTGGGAGGAAAACAAAAAAAAAAAAAAAAAAAAAAAGTTTTATCTCGATCAACAAAAATAATGAATCTTACTTTTGTCTTTGTCTTGAACCGAAAATTAATTTCATCATATTATAACAATTACAATGATTCGCTTAAAGTATACCGTAAATAAACACGCATTTTATTATTCCATACTAATTTATTATAATCATTCAATTAATTTTGCTTTATTCTCTCAAGAAATTTATAGCCGCAAAATGTTTTCATTTATCTTTCATAATATTATTTTACACTAAATAAATTTATTATTTAAAAAAAAAATTATTAAATAAAATACAAATCAAATTCTATCAAAAAAAATTCTTTTAAAAAAATTTCTTTTATAAAATTATTTGAAATAAAATAATTTTTTTCTAAATTCAATTTTACCTGTTTCTAATTCCAAGTGATATAAATCTCTTGCATATCCTTTCTTGGGAATAAATCAAAAAAAAAAAATTTCTAAACTATACAAGTACTTTTCTCTAAAATTAATTTCACTGTTGTAATTGAAATCCATTTTCGTGATTGATTTAACTGATGAAAAAACACATTTTCACTGGAAATTTTTTTTTGACACACAAAACAAATAGATAAATACATATTTGTAAAATTTGAAGAAAAAGAAAAATTAAATATCAATTTTTCTCGAAATCATTTTTCGAATTTAAAAAAAAAAACAAAAGAAACGAAAATTCAAAAACAAAAAAAATGTTCTCTAATAAAAAAGAAGAAAATTATTTCTCATAACTTTCTAACAAAGTTTTATCTAAAAGGACGACTATCAACGACTGCGGCTCATCGCAAACTGAATGGAGCTTGCGAGCTTTTTCCTATATGTAAAGCTCCCTTGGAATGCGCGTGAGACGTTAAACTGTTTAGGCAAGTCTGTTTTCAGAATTTCAAGAAGGGGTTTCTTTTTTTTTTTTTTTTTTTTTTGATATTACCCACCAATGTCATATACACATATATAAAATATGTAAAATTCTTCTCTGACACAGAAGAAAATTTTTTTTTGTTTTTTTATAAATATAATTAGAAAATTCTTTTCCATCAACTTAATTACTTTTTTTTTTAAGGGTAGGAAAAAAAAATATTCTTTTATTCTGTTTCTTAATTCAAAATTAATATAATCAACTTCAATAAATATGTAAATTTTAATAATATAACTTTATTGGATAATAAAGAGAAAAAAAATCAAGTTATTTTTTTAGCCGTAAAATAATACTATTTCTTTTTCATATCTTGTCGTCACAAATATATAACTTTATGAAAGTATCATGAAAAAAAAATTTTTTTTTTTATATTCTTTTTTTTCACTTAACTAACAGAAAACATATAAAGAAAATTTATTTGAGAATTACAAGAGAACAGTAATAAATAAAAAAAACTGTTTTTTCAATAAAAGAATATTTTTTTTAGTAAAAAAAATAATTTCTAATTGATAAAGTTCTTTAATTCATGTATTTTATATTTCCCAATCTAAAATCTATCTCAACAAAGTATCTCTTATATTTTTATTTGCAAAGAGAGCATTTTTTTTTTTTTTTTTTTTTTACAAAAAATACCCTTGTCACTCAATCTTTGTCATTTGTGAAGAATTTAACCCTTAGAACCTTTATAAATATTTGCCTCCATTTTTCCCAATACTTGCGTATATATATATACATCGCACATATGTGTGATATAACACGTCATAATTTAATCCCTGTCTTTTAGTCAACATATTTTGATTTTACATCTGCAATTCAGTAAATCGAACGATAAATATAATATTCTGATAATAACGAATATCAAATTATAAATTTGCAAACAGAGACAACAATTTCAAATAATAAATTTTATAATTACACCAAATTGTGTCATTTTCATACTTTCACTAGATTATATAGAGTAATAAAATGAAAAATTTAGTAGAATCAATTTTTTTTTCTAATTGACAAAATTTTCTTTAAATTAAATTTTATAATTAACCAAATTGTCATCATTTAGAATTTTCATTTAATATCTATATAGAATTTCCATTATATCTAATTTATTTAGCCAAATTATCATTTAGCAAAATTTTCATCTAATCGAGTTTCCATTTAGCAGAATTTTAATTCAATAAAAACTTTTCAATCGATTTTATATTTAGCCGAATTATCATTTAGCAGAAGTTTTATTTAACTGAAAAATTAATTAGTGGAATTTCTATTTATCACAATTTTAATTTTAAAAAAAAATTTCTTTTAATCAAATTTTTACTTAGCCGAATTATCATTTAGCTGAATTTTCATTTAATCGAATTTCCATTTAGCAGAATTTTAATTCAACAAAAACTTTTCAATCAAATTTTTATTTAGCCGAATTATCATTTACCAGAAGTTTTATTTAACCGAAAAATCATTTAGTAGAATTTCTATTTAACACAATTTTCATTTAACAAAAATTTTCTTTAATCGAATTTTCATTTAGCCGAATTATCATTTAGCAGAAGTTTTATTTAACCGAAAAATCATTTAGTGGAATTTCTATTTAACACAATTTTCATTTAATAAAAATTTTCTTTAATCGAATTTTCATTTAGCCGAATTATCATTAAGCAGAATTTTCATTTAATCGAATTTCCATTTAGCAAAATTTTAATTCAACAAAAACTTTTCAATCGAATTTTTATTTTGCCGAATTATTATTTAGCAGAAGTTTTATTTAACCGAAAAATCATTTAGTGGAATTTCTATTTAGCACAATTTTCATTTAACAAAAATTTTCTTTAATCGAATTTTCATTTAGCCGAATTATCATTTAGCGGAATTGTCATTTAAACGATGTTCCATTTAGCAGAATTTTAATTTAACAAAAATTTTGCTTTTAATTAAATTTCCATTAAGCCAAATTATCATTTAGCAGAATTTCCATTTAAGTGAATTTTTATTTTTTAAAAATGTCCAATTAGCAGAATTTTTATTTAATTCTTTAATAAATAATATTGTGATGAAAGCTCAAGTTACTATGAAATTAGAGATAAGATGTTACCTCAATTATTCTTAACTATGTACTGAGTGAGAAAATCGATCAAGTTGACTCAGCGACAAATCCAAATCTCTCAGAATTACTGAATTCCACCGATTTCAGTCAGGTTCAAATAAAAAAGTTTACTTCTTATACAAATAGTTCGAATTTTTTTTTTGATAATTATAAGTTAGAAAAAAAATAACTAAATTTTGAAATTAAAACCATTTTAATAATTTAATTTAAAAGAAAAAATTTGACCGAAAAATTTCGCAGTAATTCTTTTTGTATAGTAATTAAATAGTAATTAAATTAAATTAAAATTATTAATATATATATATAATAGAAAATTTTAATTAATTTTTGTCTAAGCGATATTTTTAAAAACCGCTTTCAACCTATATATATATATACATATATTTTTTTTTAAGAAAGAGAGAGATGCTTTCGTGCAAAAGAAGAGAAGAAATTTGTTTCCAACGTTTCTAGACCAGGTAGCTATTTATCATCAAAGAGTAAAAACGAGGTTCCATAATCCACTAGTTCTCTTTTATATACCTCTAACCCAAAAAAAAAAAAAAAAAAAAATTGTCTTATATATGAAAATGATACTAATTGAAAAAAATTTTCTCTACCTTGCGCACTCTCATTATCATATTTAAATATGCGCGGGAAAAAAATTTATTCAAATTTCTTTTATTAAATATAATTAACAAAAATTTATTTCACGTAAAATAATATAATGAAATTCGCATTATAAAATTTTGTTTTCACATTAAACAAAATAAAAAAAAATTTAAACTGCCAAATAAAATAGCAAAAAACAAAATAAATGCAGTAACAAAATTTCTGGGACAATGTTTTATTTTAAAATTTCACTTTTTTTTTTTTTTTATAAAGTGAATTGAATACATTTTAGTATTCCGAAGAAAGAACTTTAAGTTTATATATAGAAAAGTTTGCGTGAAACATAAAATTCCTTTCAAGTTTGTCAGTCTCATGGAAAGAATCAATAGATATCGACGCAAAAAAAAAAATTTTAATTTATTTTTTAAAAATTACTTACTTTTTCTTATATAATTATTATTTAAATGGAATTTTTATAATAATTTTTACTATATATATACTTTTTTTTTATATGAGAGGAAGCGAAAATTATATATGATTTAGCATATTTTTTTTGAAACATAGGTATATATGTATCGAACGAACATTGACGTTTTTATAATCGAAAAAATATAAATTGAAGAATTTCACATTAAAAAAAAAATATATATATATATGTATAAATTTTTACGTAAACGTAAAAACATATATGTCAATCAACATCCCATAACTTTACTCTTCCTCTCTGGTAACTTATTGAATTTATTTTTTTACTATAGCAATCTAAATTATTTTCGAATCGCTAGTTTGATGAAATTTTTTTTTTTTTATTTTATTTTATATGAATGCAAATAACAGAAAATTTTCTGAGGCATTAATAACGAAAATCCGTTTCTAACAGTCAAATAATTCTGGAATTTCAAGATTTCATAATATATAAGCCTTCAAATATATGTCTACATACTGAATTGAACAAGTTTTGGTCTGATTTCGAAACCACTGAATCTTATATATATATATACATCTTCTCCAACGATGTATATAAGCAATAAATTTACATACTTGTAATGTATACGTCAAAGATAATATCAAAGAATTAAATGATATTCATATATATATATATATATATTAAAAAAAAAAAAATTTTCTTTATAAATAATAAAAAAAAATGTTTTTTTAATTTCCTAAATGAAAAATATAAATATAAACTAATAATAGATTATTTAAATATATAATAATTATAATATAAAAAAAATATATAATTAATATCGAAAATTTCGATTAATTTTTAAAATTAGAAAATTCTTTTTTAATGTCCAATATCACTATAGTATCATTTTCTTCACACGTTGGCAAAATTATAACAAAAATTAAATTATAAATAATAGTTTACTGATGGAAGTTTCAATTTCCCATAAAGTATAATTATATCGTATATAAAATTTTAATTTAAAAAGTTATTATAACGACAAACATGTTTAACTTTTAAATAATAAAATTACAGATTTCAAATAAAAATTACCTCTATCGAAACTTATATGAAAATTTCATTTAAAAATAATTTATACAATTTTATTAATTTATTTAAAATATTTAAATTTTTAACATTATATATTTATTTATTATTATTTAATTATATATTATTATTATTATTATTATTATTATTATTATTATTATTATTATTATTATTATTATTACTTAATTATAAATTATTATTTTAATAACAATTTAAAAAATATTTTTTCATATTTTTATTTCAATATTTATTTATAATTTATTAATTTATAAACAAGTATACAATTTTTACTTTTCTTTTTATAAAATTTGAAAAAGAATGTTTTTTTCGATCTTATATAAACTTAACTTATTTTAATAAAGAAAATTTTTTTCATATAATGAAGAATTTCGATATAATATAGTCTATCATTGGACTTGTTTGATCCCTTAATCCCTCGTGAATAGATTTCTACTTTTCACCCTACCTATACATTTTTGTCATGATGCGTATGATTAAATATAAGGTTTTTTTTTTCCTTTCCTTCTTTAACCCTGAATGCGACAAGTTGAACACAAATATTAATCATTTCGATAATTGATTTTTTACATTAATTCTCAAAAATTTCTTTTTTATTCTCACCTTTTCTGACCCATTTGCTTTCTTACAAATATTTATATAGAAAAAAAAAACAATTTCCTTTTTTTTTTATTAAATATAATTTAACA